CTCATCGTGGGCAATCGTCAACGAGGCCTGATCATCGCCGGAAAATCGGGCCAGGCCCATATCCAGGATCTTCACCACACCCTTTTCATCCACCAGCAAGTTGGCCGGCTTGATATCGCGATGGATGATGCCCGATTCGTGGGCGTAGGCGAGTCCTTCGGCTGCTTGGGCGATGTAGTCGGCGGCCATTTCGTAGTCGAGCGGGCCTTTCCGACGCACTAGCTCCTGAAGATCGCAACCGTCGACATACTCCATCACCAGGAAGTGCGTTTGGCCTTCGCTGTCGATGTCGTAGGCTCGGACGACGTTCGGGTGCTCCAATTTTCCCGCAGCGTGAGCTTCGCGATAGAACCGGGCCAGGTAAGACGAGTCGGCGATGCGATTCTGCGGCAACACCTTGATGGCCACGCGGCGATGCATCAGCACGTGCTCGGCCAGATAGACACTGCTCATGCCGCCGGTGCCGAGAAGGCTAAGCAGCTTGTATTTGCCGAGAAAGAAGCCTTTGTGCCGCCCTTCAAGCAGCTTGTCGGTCTGCCAACGGGTTAGCAGCCCCTCATCGATAAGACGTTCCGCGACCACCTTGCTATCGGCTTCCGACGTGCCTACCAGGTCATCGTCGAGAACGCTCTGCAAGCGGCTGTTTTCGACCAACCCGCTCCGGCGGACGAGATCGAGGAACCGTTGTACCTTCACCTGCACATTGCTCATAGGAAGGGCGCTGCGTCACACCGCCGTTGTGCCACCTTACTGCATATTAATTGCATGCGTTACCAAAGTCGTACCACGCTGAAAAAAGGTACTCCCAAGGGTTTCCGCACTGTTCCGGGCGGTTCGCCAGAATCGCCAATCGTTATTGGCAGCGACTATCCGCGACCGCGGATAGGAGCGCCGCCCACTCGACGCATGTTTCAATTATGACAGATGGGATGAAGGGACCGAAGGAACCGCACCGTGGCGAACCACTGTCCACGTCCATTGTTGTGGCGATACGATTACCACGTTCCACGCTACCAACGATTGAAGAAAGATACCAGAATATCTTGTTGTCAGAAAACAACTTTCCGCTACCAGTTGCGTTTTTTGACCATTAAACCGTTTGGCCACTGGTGGGGACTCGAGCACCGACAGGCTACCCGCTCCTACAACCAGTCGATCGATGCCGACTCACCAGCCTACGGCCAGGTGCCGATGGCGTGATAACGACTTAATTATATGCAGGCTAACAGTTTCTGGCCGATCAACTTTAGTTTATGGACTAGCACCGGTCGTCTGACGGCTTGGAGAAGCGGGGAAACCTTCAAACTTGCAGCCAACGCAGAGTTAAACGAGACATCTAACGAGGTGCCCAAAATGACGGTTCCCGAGGCGGTTCTTTACACCCGGCAGGGCTGCCACCTGTGCGATGAAGCTAGAATCACGCTTCAAAGGCACGGATTAGAGCCGCGAGAAGTCGACATCGACCAGCATGAAGACTTGCGGAAAAAATACACATCCTGTGTACCCGTCGTAGAAATCGATGGCCGTGAACGATTTCGGGGCCGCGTGAATGAAGTACTGCTTCGGCGGTTACTGAGAAGTGGGTAGCCAGTCGTCTCCTGATGTAGCCGTCGGACTCGGGTTTCGAGTCCTCAAAACATTGTTCATCACTGATTGATTCCGCGGGTCGTCATGCAACAAATTGGAGTCTTTGCCAAGTATTGGGAACCTGGAAAGGTAAAAACCAGACTGGCTGCATCCATCGGACAGGAAAAAGCCAGCCGCATTTATCGGGCTTTCGTCCAGGCTCTCCTGCGACGGCTTTCCGATCTTGGCGAGCGGCGAATTCTGGCAGTAACCCCGGCCGATCGAATTGGGGAATTTGCCAAGATCGCCGGTGAGTCCTGGACGGTCGAACCCCAGTGCGGCGGCGACTTGGGCGATCGGATGAGGCAGTACTTCGATTCAGCATACGAACGGGGAGTTCGCGATGTATTGCTCCTTGGTTCCGACAGCCCTGACGTCCCCCGAGAGTTCGTCACCAAGGCCTTCGAATTGCTCGAACGTTTCCCCGTGGTTCTAGGTCCAAGCGAAGATGGCGGCTACTACCTCATTGCCGCTCGGAACCAGACGCCCCCAGTATTCGACAACGTTCCGTGGAGCAGCTCAGCGGTCTGGGAGGAAACCCTTGCACGATTGACTAATGCCGGAATTCCTTACGGCGAGCTTCCAATATGGTACGACGTGGATGAAACCGAGAGCCTCGAGCGACTCCTGAGTGCCCTTCGTGGTTCCCAAGACCTGGACAGACCACTGCTTGAGTTGAAAGATGGTCTGTGCAGGGAGCTAGAAAGCAACTGAGCGGCATACGGATTGATTTTCGCAACACGAACGGCCCCATCCGCGGGAAGTTAGTTAGGTCCGGCTATGGACGATGTAATTGTGATTGGCGGCGGGGCGATTGGCCTTTCCTTGGCCTACGATCTCGTCACCCATGGGTTAAAGGTTCGGGTGCTGGAACGCGGACGCCTAGGAGCCGAAGCGAGTTGGGCCGGGGCCGGAATTCTCCCTCCAGGAAATCGCCACTCGACTTCCGATGCCTATGAGCAATTCGTTGGACTAGGGCACGAATTGCACCCCAAGTGGGCCGAGCAACTCCGCGAAGAGACTGGCATAGATAATGGTTACCACCGCTGCGGCGGCCTGCACGTCGCTCGCGGCGATGGAATGGTCGAAATGCTCGGTTACATGATCGATCACTGGCAGAGTCGTTCGCTACTCGTCAAACGGGTCGAGGCCAGTGAACTTGTAGAACTCGAGCCAAACTTGAAGCCGAAGCTGCAGGACGATGAGCCGATTGCGGCAGCACTACTCGAAGATGAAGGCCAAGTTCGTAATCCCCGGCACCTGAAAGCCCTGGCAGCGGCCTGCCTGCGAAGGGGAGTGGCGATCGAAGAAGGTGTGGCAGTCGAGTCACTGCAGATCGCCCACGGTAAAGTTGTTTCGGCACGGACGATCGCAGGCTCGCGTGAAGCCGGAAGTTACTGTGTCGCAGGAGGGGCTTGGAGCCAAACCCTGCTGGAAAACCTCGGGGTGAATCTTCCCATTCGCCCCGTGCGTGGGCAGATCGCCCTCTTAGCTTGCCGTATCCCTCCGATTTCTCGGGTTGTAAACGAGGCAACGCGTTATTTAGTGCCGCGACCCGATGGGCGCATTCTGATTGGTGCAACGGAAGAAAACGTTGGGTTCGATAAGCGCACTACGGCAGAAGCCATCCAAGGGCTGATCGAATTGGGCCGAAGCCTCGTCCCAGCACTTGGGAGCGCAGAGGTTGAACGCTGCTGGGCCGGCCTTCGGCCTTCGACCGAGGACGGGCGCCCCTACATGGGTGTTGTACCGGGCCTTGAAAATGCCTTCGCTGCAACCGGGCACTTCCGTAGCGGTTTGCAGCTCTCACCAGCGGTAGGCGTCGTGATGGGCCAACTCATCCGGAACGAATCCCCGGAAATCGCTCTCGATACCTTCCGCCTCGATCGCTGAAACGCCTGAAGAAATCCTGTTCGCGGCTAATCAGACGCTGGCACACTTTAGGGCAGACATGCGTTTTACCTGACGCATGATTTCGTCAGCACCGTTTGCCAAAGAGAACTGCTTATGCACGTTCCCTTCGACAAAGGCAACCTTGTTCATGCCGTAGACATCCGAGGTTGCCTCATCTTGTCCCAGAACATAGCCACCGGCGGCCCGAATCATTCCGCAGCCATCGGAACCATCTCGCCCCATCCCGGTCATCACCACGCCGAGAACTTTCTCACGATAGATTTCGGCGGCGCACTGCATCATCACATCGACCGAAGGAATATGGCCACTAACAGGTTCTCCTTCCCGAATCACGATCTTCACGTCCGACCCAAACTTTCGCAGGGTCAGGTGTCGTCCACCCGGTGCGATGTAGGCATGGTTCGGCTTCAAGATGTCTCCCGTAGCTGCTTCTTTGATTGACAGCGGCGATATCGAATCCAGCCTTCGGGAGAACGGACCTGTGAAGTTAGCCGGCATGTGTTGAACAACAACCACCGGTGGTAGCGGCGGCTGAAGCCGCTCGAAAACTTCCGTCAGGGCCGGAGGACCTCCGGTTGAAATTCCAATAGCCACGCAACGGTCGGCCAATGCAGCGTCTGAAGCCGAGCTAGATTGGGTGAATCGCGACGTGGGCTGGCTTGGCTTGTCAGACGCCCGCTCGCGACGAGCACGGCGAATCTCCAACATGCGTTTCACATTAGTGCCGGCCATCGTACGAATCTTTTGGAGTAATTCGTGCTTGAAGGAGCCCTCTAACTTCCGTGCGCCCTCGGGCTTGGCCACATAGTCCATGGCACCATGATCGAGGGCTTTCAAAGTAATGTCGGCACCTCGCTGGGTGAGCGAACTTACCATCACCACAGGAGTTGGACGCCGCTTAAGAATCTCATCTAGCGTCGAAAGCCCATCCATGCCCGGCATCTCGATATCGAGCGTGATGATGTCCGGCTGAAGCTTCTCGACGAGTTGCAGCGCTTCGTTCCCATCTCGGGCTTTGCCGATGAGGTTCAAGTCGCTCGCGTCATCGATTAGGTCTCCGATCAGCTCTCGAATCACGAGAGAGTCATCGACAATCAGAACTCGGATTGGTCGGTTCTGCTGCATTCCACTAAGCCCCTATTTGAGAGCAGTTTGAGAGGCATCCTAAACACGCTTGCCCCTCTCTTGTGAAATGTAGCTTTTACGCAAGTGGGAACGGGCGACTGAGCCTGGGGTCTCGCAGACAGTACGCCGACAGATCGTGCGCGTTACGTAAAATCCTCTCAGACGTGAGCTGAGAAGGTTTCCTCAACTGTATATTGACTCAGTGCCGCCCATTGGACCCACCCCTTATGGCTACCTTTGATTCCCATAGGTGGCACATTGACACAAAGCCGCCATCAAAATTGGACCTCACCACGCCTCCTCCATCAAGGCAATCAAGCACCGTTGCACTTCAGTTATGGCTCGAAAGTGGTTGTATCGGGCCCGGTGATTCCAACCTGTTCGAGATGAAAAACCGTCACGCCGGGGCGCCCACTAAAAGTCTGCAGTCGCGCCACTCTCCACGTTCCTATCGGGCTAAGGCTATTTTCCAATTCTGCAGCGGTCTTATCTGCCAGAGCCGTATTGCCGCGTAGCACAATCCATCCCTCACCGGCCGACATTAGTAGTTGCCTTGCCTGGGGAATTAAGTCCCACGGCCGCGGGGTCGTGAGTGGAATCAAATGTGATTCGTCATCGGCAAGTGCATAAAGATTGTTCAACGGAGCAGTTCCGTAGGGGATCCACTTCGTCTCCGCCAGATTCTCCTCTGTGCATTCAATGAATCCGGAACGCACGAAGACAGGGGCAGCGTGGTTTCTGTTCTTTCTCACATACTCCGCCGCGGCCCTCCAGTCCTCGCGAGCATGGCCGGATATGCTGTGATTCAGATAGACGTTTCTCAAAACGCTATGGGCCGAAGTTTGCAACGGAGAGACCGCCAGCCCCACAACGAGCGTCACAAAGTACGCCACCTGAACTCTGGGCGGTCGCAGTAGTGCACCAATGATTGCGGTGGCCATAATTGGAGCTACCGCGGCAATCATGAGATATCGCTTGAGAAACACTCGGGCGAGGTCGATTCGGGTAAGCCCCCAGGCCATCACCAGTAGGATCAAGAAGACTCCTAGCAAGAAGACGATTAGCGAGCGATGCTGCGAAAGATTGGAGGGCGATCTGGGAAGTGGCTCATGCTTCCACCAATGGACCAGGCCAGCAACCAGGGCAGGGTAGAGCAACCAAACGTCCAAGGGAAACAGAGTAACAAAATCAATCAATGCAGGTCGCGGCACAAATTCGGCCCAGTTCCCACGCTGCGATGCAACCTGCAATACATGGGGAACGAGTGGGATCGCCAACCCGATGACGCACGCCACATCAATCATCGCCGTGCGTGGATGATAGTTCACTGGCCTTCTACCCCGCGACACGTACCAACTAACACCCACGAAGACAGCTTCCGCGAGTAAGAGTAACGCGGAAGCGTAGTGCAAGTACAACATCGCAACCGAAGTGGCGACTAGCGCAACCCTCCAACCCCTCTGCGCCTTCTGAAGTACTTCGCGTAGAGAGATGAGTTGAAGCAAAGCGACCAGTTCCAACAATGCATAGGGGCGAGCGTCTTGAGCGTAGAAGATGAAGAGTCGGTCTACAGCCAGGAGTCCGGAGGTTGCGATTGTTGCCAGGCTCGATGCCGTCCACCGCCACACGGCCCAGGCGGCAACAATCATCACAGCGGTGCTCGCCGCTACCGACAGCGATCGCAGGGCAAGCTCACTTAGCCCGAAGGCTCGCATGATGCCCCACTCGACATAAAAGAAGGCAGGGCTATGGTTCCCAATCCGTGCTCGGGGGGCGACTTCAGACAATGGTCCGTCCACGACCCAAGCCGTGTGAAGTTCATCCAGCCACAAACTGTGCCCAAGGTCGTGGATGCGCAGCGTTACACCGAGCAGGACGAACAGACCTACCATCAGAGTAGTCGTCGGTGGTAGGCGAGGAAAATCGGCTGGCGTTTGCATCACGCGACGATTCTAGCACCCGAGTGGCGATCGTCCGACTGGACTCCTGAACCCGAAATGCGGGACCGCCGCTGATCCTCACCCACCGCACCTCAGTTCACCTGGCTGCGAAACTTTCTATCAACCAGCGAGAGCATATCGGCTTCGTCCGGAAACGCACCGGTCTGCAGCTTTGAGTATTCGAGATGGCCGTCGAGTAGAAGTTCGAAACGGCCGCCGGAGGACGGGATCAGTTCGAGGCTATCGATTTGTTGCTTGAACCGCCCCAAGAGCGTGGCCGCCAAACTGACGGCCTGAGGTTCGTAATTTCACATCGAGCAGTATTCGAGTCGAATCTTCACTGTCTGCGATCTCCTCTTAGAGAATGAGCCCCTTGCCTCACCTACTTGCGGGCCTTCTTACGCACTGCCGGCTTCTTCTTGGCTGCTGCTGGAGTCTTCTTCTTGGCCGATTTCTTCACGGCCTTCTTCTTGGATGTCTTTTTTACGGCAGCTTTCTTCTTGGGCGATGTCTTGGCGGTCTTCTTTTTCGGGGCAGTCTTCTTGGTGGATTTCTTGTTCGACTTCCCGAATACCGCTCCCCAGTTTTCAGAGTAGGCGTTCGTCGCACCAACGTGGGTTACCGTCATGGAAACTACCTCTTAGAAGTCAGCGTCGTACTTGTAGGTGCACTCAATCCATGAATGCCCTGATCTCAAACAAAGCGTCTATAGGCGCTTCTAACGATTTGCTCGGGCCTGGTCAACCCGGACGATTAGGATTGCAATTTCTTATAGCGATAGCGATGTGGTTCGTCGGCTTCAATGCCTAACCGCTCGCGGCGTTGCTCCTCGTAAGTTTGGAAATTGCCCTCGCACCAGTGCACATACCCTTCGCCCTCGAAGGCCAGAATGTGCGTTGCGATGCGGTCGAGGAACCAGCGATCGTGGCTAATCACCACCACACAGCCGGCGAAGTTGAGAATCCCTTCCTCCAGTGCTCGCAGGGTGTCGACGTCCAAGTCGTTCGTCGGTTCGTCAAGCAACAGGAGATTACTACCGCGTCGCAGCAGCTTGGCCAGGTGAACCCGGTTACGTTCACCACCGGAAAGATCACCCACGCGTTTCTGTTGATCGGTTCCCTGGAAGTTAAACCGAGCCACGTATGCCCGAGCGTTGACCTCCCGCTTGCCCAGTTCGAGCGTATCGTGTCCGCCGGAAATCTCTTCGAACACTGTATTATTCGGGTCCAGCGCATCTCGCGATTGATCGACGTAGCCCATTTCGACCGTGGGCCCTACTCGAATCTCACCCTGATCGGGTTTCTCTTCGCCGGTGAGCATGCGGAACAGCGTTGTCTTACCCGCACCATTCGGACCAATGATGCCCACGATGCCGCCACGAGGAAGCCGGAAGCTCAAGTCTTCGATCAGAAGCCGATCGTCGAAGCCCTTGGAAACGTTGTTCACCTCGACAACCAGGTCGCCCAGGTGAGTGCCGGCGGGGATTTGGATTTCGACTTCCTCCTCGCGTTGCTCCTGGGCTTCGGATTCCAGTTTCTCGAAGGCTTTAATACGGGCCTTGTTCTTGGCCTGACGAGCCCGGGGGGCCATGCGAATCCATTCCAACTCACGCTGCAAGGTCTTCTCGCGCGAGGCGGTCTTCTTTTCTTCGCGAGCCAGCCGATCTTGCTTCTGTTCGAGCCAGGAGGTGTAGTTCCCTTCCCAGGGGATACCCTGGCCTCGATCGAGTTCGAGAATCCAGCCGGCGACGTTATCGAGGAAGTAGCGATCGTGCGTCACGGCAACCACGGTGCCTGTGTATTCGCCGAGCGTGCGTTCCAACCAGGCAACGCTTTCGGCGTCGAGGTGGTTCGTCGGTTCGTCAAGCAGCAACAGGTCGGGACGTTCCAGTAGAATTTTGCACAATGCCACACGTCGGCGTTCACCGCCGGAGAGCTTCATTACATCAGCGTCGCCCGGCGGTAGATTCATCGCATCCATGGCGATCTCGACGTGGCGATCAAGTTCCCACGCGTCGCGGGCTTCGATTTCGTCCTGCACTGTAGCCTGTTGCTTGAGCAGTTTTTCCATCTCGTCGTCATCGAGTGGTTCGCCCAGCTTCATGTTGATCTCGTTGAAGCGATCGAGCAGAGCCCGAGTGGGAGCGACCGCCTCTTCGACGTTGCCAGCCACGTCTTTCTCAGGATTTAGCTGCGGTTCCTGTGGCAGGTAACCGGCCGTGAATCCCTCGGTGAGCCGTGCCTCGCCTTCGAATTCTTTATCGAGACCGGCCATGATGCGCAGCAGGGTACTTTTGCCGGCGCCGTTTCTACCTAAGACTCCGATCTTCGCGCCGGGGTAGAACGCCAGCCAGATATTCTTGAGCACTTCGCGGCGACCGTGCTTCTTGGTCAGGTCGCCAATTTGATAGATATATTGTTTGCCCATCAGGCTACTCCCATTCGATCGTCGAGGGAGGCTTCGAGCTGATGTCGTAGACCACTCGATTGACGCCTCGCACCTCGTTGATAATGCGTGTCGACATTCTGGCCAACAGCTCGTATGGCAAGTGGGACCAGTCGGCCGTCATAAAGTCGTCGGTATTCACCGACCGGATTGCAATCGCGTTCTCGTAGGTTCGGGCATCGCCCATCACACCCACGCTTTGCACCGGCAAAAGTACGGCGAACACCTGTGAAGTTTCGCGATACAATCCGGCAGCTTTGATCTCGTCCACTACAATCGCATCGGCTTCTCGCAAAGTGTGCAGCTTCTCGCGGGTTACCTCACCCAAGCACCGCACGGCCAAACCCGGCCCTGGGAAGGGATGCCGCCAAACAATGTCTTCCGGCAATTCCAGGTCGAGGCCCAGTTTGCGAACTTCGTCTTTGAACAAATCGCGGAGTGGCTCGATCAAATCAAACTGCAAGTCGTCGGGTAACCCACCCACGTTGTGATGCAGCTTGATGGTAGCGGCCGGCCCGTCTTGCGAAGCCCCGCTTTCGATCACGTCCGGGTACAGCGTTCCTTGCGCCAAGAACTGAGCCCCCTCGATCTTGGCGGCCTCTTCGGCAAAGCAATCGATGAACGCATGCCCAATCCGGCGACGTTTCTCCTGCGGCTCAACCACGCCTGCCAATGCATCGAGGAATCGATCTTCAGCCTTAACCACGTGCAGATCGGTTTTGAAGTGCTGAGAGAATTCCTTGATGACCGACTCTTCTTCCGATTTTCTCAATAACCCGTTGTCGACCAGGATGCAGGAAAGCTGCGAGCCGATGGCTTTGTAGATGAGAGCCGCCACGACGGAAGAATCGACTCCACCAGACAGCCCACATACAACCCTGCGATCACCGACCCGTTCGCGGATTTGCTCAATTGTTTTTTCGGCGAAATCGTGCAGCTTCCAATTCCCATCGCAGCCACACACATCGTGTAGGAAGTTCCGCAGAACTTCGCGGCCTTTAGGCGTATGGGTCACCTCAGGATGGAACTGAAGGCCGTAAACCGGCAGCTTCTTGTGTTTCACCGCCGCCAAGGGGCAGGTTGAGGTGCTGGCCAGCGAAATGAAATCGTCGGATACCTCGGCCACTTGGTCGCCATGGCTCATCCACACTTCCGTGTTTGTGGGTACCCCAGCAAACAACTCGCCGGGCGTGGTGATTTCGCAGGAGGCCCGACCATATTCACGCGCCGGGGCTTGCTGAACGTTGCCCCCCAAAGCTTCGCAGGCCAACTGCATGCCGTAGCAGATTCCCAACACAGGGATACCCAGTTGGAAAATCTCCGGATCGCACTGCGGGGCACCGTCTTCGTAGACGCTTGATGGCCCACCGGAAAGGATCAAGCCTACGGGGGCGAGTTCACGAATTCGTGCCGCTGAGATGTCGTGACGGACAATCTCGCAGTAAACCTGCTGCTCGCGGGCCCGACGGGCGATCAACTGGGCGTATTGCGAGCCAAAGTCGAGCACCAACACGCGCTGGCTGACAAGTTGACCCAAATCCGCGGTCGGGGAGTCCCTAGTGATGGACATGCCGGCTATCCTTGTGTTACGCCGCCGACGCGGCCACTCGAACCCGGCTGGAAGCCGAGGCGGCCAAAAAACAAAAAGCCCGTCTTCCGGGACGGGCAACCAAGCAGGGGATTATACGATTCCGCGCCCGAAACGTACAGGGTTCAGAATCGCTTGGCTCCACAGCATTTAGCACAACTGCAGGGCAGGGGTCGCGTTGATGCGAGTGGGCAGGGCGATAAGATACGGACGATTTACCGAACGAACCCCGGCGATCCCTTTGGGGCGGCCTAAGAACCAAACGTCCGACGGCGAGAACAATCATTCTTCTGGTACCAATGGAGTGAATGCCAACTGTGCATATACTTCTGACCAACGACGACGGAATCTACGCCCCCGGCCTGATGGCCATGGAGCGCGAACTCAGACGCCTAGGCGAGGTCACCGTGGTGGCCCCGGCCACCGAACAGAGTGGGGTCGGCCACTCGATCACGTTTCTCACCCCATTGATTGTGCAGGAGGTCTACGATGGCCCCCGCCACCGGGGTTGGGCCGTCGAGGGGAGCCCGGCCGATTGCGTGAAGATCGGAATCTTCGAGTTCTGCCAAGAGCGGCCCGACCTGATTATCAGCGGCATTAACAATGGGCTGAACGCCGGCATCAATGTCCTCTACTCCGGCACAGTGGCCGCGGCCATCGAGGGTGCTTTCTTCGGCATCACCAGCATGGCGGTTTCGCTGGAGTACGACGAGCACGGTCCCTTCGACGCAGCCGCCCGACTGGCCCGCGAGATCATCGAACAGGTGCTCGAATTCAAGAAACCCGAGCCGCAGCTCTACAACCTCAACATCCCGATTGCCGCGCTGGAAGGGAACAGCCAGCTCCGCGTCGTCCCCATGGGGGTCGCTCGATACGGTGAGCACTTCGAAAAGCGGACCGACCCCCGCGGACGCAGCTACTATTGGGCCACCAACGATCCGCCACCCCCGGCTGGCGGGGAAGCCAGCGATCTTTCCGCTCTGGCAGCCGGTGACATGTCGCTCACCCCCTTGAGCTTTGACATGACAACCCGCGATGTATTGACCGAGATGCAGGGCTGGAATCTGAAAACACCAACGTTGCCGTAACGGGCGGATCCCTCGGCTAGCAGTTTCTTGCCAGGAGTTTCATGCACAGATAGTGAACGGAGTGACCGATGAAGCGGGGTTACGGCGAAGACCTGTCCCACATTCACGATGTGGGGTTCGGCGGGTTGGCAGAACACGCAGCTAAGGAACTCCATCAGGTGTTCCGCGAGAACCAAATCAGCGACGGGCTCGTGATCGACGTTGGTTGTGGGAGCGGAATTTGGGCTGAAGCATTGATCGCTCATGGCTACCAGGCCCTGGGCATCGATCAGTCGGCCAGCATGATCGACATTGCAAGGCAACGCGTGCCCGAGGCCGAGTTCCGTACCGAATCTTTCCTTACCAGCGAGCTCCCGCCCTGCAAAGCAATCACCGCCCTGGGCGAGGTGCTCAACTACCAGTTCGACGAGCGAAACTCTCGCGACGCGTTGATTGGTTTCTTCAACAAGGCGTACCAAGCCCTGGAGCCCGGGGGATTGTTCGTGTTCGATCTGGCCGGTCCCGGAAGAAACAAAACCACACCACAACTCTTTCGCGACAGTGAGGACTGGACCTGCCTGGTCCAGCACACGCTCAACGAATCGAACGATTTCCTATCCCGGTCAATCATCACCTACCGAAAAGTCGGCGACCTTTACCGCAGAGACGAAGAAACCCACGAGATGCAGCTATACCCTCCAGACGAAATCGTTCGGGAGCTGCAACAAATCGGATTCGAGGTGCAAACCGTCGACCGCTACGGCGAGTTCGTGTTCCCCGACGCGCTGATTGGATATGTGTGCCGGAAGAAGTAAAGCGTTGTCCTAACGCTCCATTCTGTTGCACAGAAGACGTCCGCACGGGAGAATCGAAGCAAGGGGAGAAATCTCAACTAGATAGAAGGTGACACCATGCAGCGGATTTGGTTTGCGTTGGCGGGAAGCGTGGCGATTGTCACTACCTTGGGTTGCGGCTCTAGCGAAGCTCCTCCTCGCCCGGCGACATCGCTTCGACCAGCCGCGCCGGAACCGGCTCCCGCGGCTCAACCCGAGCAGCCGGAGGAACCGGCGGTGATGGTTCAGAAGGAAGCCGCCGTGGGGGTGGGCAAGAAAGGACGGGACTACGAACCGGGGCTAATCACTACGCCGGTGCAGGCATACTTCACTGCGAAGGAAGAAATCGCGTTCAACATCCAGATCCCTCACGCCATGCAGCTCTATCACGCTCAACACGAGTCGTACCCGAAGTCTCACGAAGAATTCATGGAAAAGATCATCAAGCCCGGCGCCATCCAACTGCCGGAGTTGCCAGCGGGTCACCGCTATGTATACGACCCTGAGAAGGCGCAGTTGATGGTTGAGCATCCCGAGTAGGGCAGGGAAGTGGGGCCGCCTGGAAAGCCGCCTCTAAGGACTCCCTGTGAGCGGCTCTTCCTTGTAAGCGACCATCAACCAGCGGTCGTTGACTTTCTTCAGATCGACACTGAAGCGGGCGATGTACTTGTCGCGAGGAACCTGCCCTTGTCGATCGTTGGCCTCGACCGAGGCGATCATTCGGGCCTGTGCGGCGGTGGAGTCCCCGGAGTCATCGACTTCGACCTGTAGCTGACCCAGCCGCACGCTCTTGACGTCGAACCGCGGCATTCGCGATTGCACCTCGGAGAAACCCGCTGCCGAGGCAGGGTCGATGAATGTCATGAATTGATCTAGATCGTTCGCTTCTGCGGCGGTGGCTGCCAAGTAGAGGGTGTTCTCGATTTCTTCCCGCGGTGTAACCACCGTGTATTCGACAACCACGAGCAGGATGGTCAACACGAACACGCAGCCCATCGCGAGAAGAACTGCTCCACGACCGGTTTTCACCAGCACGACCGCCAAGAGTACCTGAATCAGAATGCCCGCGGTCAGTACCGTCGTCGGGTCTTCGAGCAACCACCCCATACTGTATCCCCCCGTCAGCGTCGGTCGCCTGAACAAGCGACTCAGAAAGACGCTGTCCGTCCTCACTCTTCCCTCTACCCACTTCCGTAGTCGACCCGTGGATCGACTAAGCCTGATCGCTCGTGGCCAGATTGCGTAACTCGCGGGGCAGGGGGAAATGAACATTCTCTTCCCGAATCATCCGCGCCTCGACCTCGGCCCCGAACTTCTTTTGCAACAGAGCAATGCAGTCCTCAACGACGATCTCCGGCGCGCTAGCCCCAGCGGTCACCAGCACGGTATCGCCTTCGTTGAACCACCCCAGGTCGATCTCGGCCGCGGTGTCGATCAGATGGGCCGGAATGCCAACCTCCTTGGCCAGCGAAACTAACCGTTGGCTGTTCGAGGAATTCTGACTGCCTAGCACCAAGGCGATGTTCGCTTCTTGGGCCAACTCGCGAACCGCTTCTTGTCGGTTCTGGGTCGCATAGCAAATGTCGTCCTTAGGCGGGTTGGCAATGTTCGGAAATCGCTGACGAAGGCGGCTGATGATGCGATTCGCATCGTCAACCGAAAGGGTCGTCTGCGTGAGATAGGCCAACCGCTCAGTTTCTGGCAAATCTAAAGCGTCGACATCCTCGGGCGACTCGACCAGGATCATCGCCTCGGGGGCCTCACCCATGGTGCCGATCACTTCATCGTGCCCTTCATGCCCGACGAGAATGATCGTGTAACCTTCTTTGGCGTAGCGGATGGCCTCTTTATGAACCTTGGTCACCAAGGGGCAGGTGGCGTCGATGGTCTGCAAGTTCCGCTCGGCAGAAATCCGGCGGATCTCAGGCGAGACGCCATGGGCCGAATACATCACCCGTTGCCCATTCGGCACTTCATCCAGCGTCTCGACGAAGGTCACACCGGCGTTGCGAAACCGGTTGACCACGTACTGGTTGTGGACGATCTCGTGGTAGACGTACAGCGGCGTGCCGAAGCGCTCGAGCGCCAACTCGAGGCTTTCAATCGCCATATTCACACCCGCACAGAACCCGCGGGGACTGGCCAACAGAATCTTCATAGTACGTGCCGCCCTTTCTACCGCCATCGTAGGCAAGTGTTCCGAATTTGGCCAGAAGTAGGATTCATTGTCGATGACAATTCAAACACTTCGGTGACTGCTTAGCACCTGTAGGGAACGCCCTCTGTGGCGTTCCGTGAATTGCCGTTACGCCCGGAACGCCACAGAGTGCGTTCCCTACAGTGTTTGTAGCTAGAGGCTAACCCTAGGTTGCATCGGCCATCGCCGTGAGTTGATGCACCGAGCGATCCTGCTCTTTCTCCAAGTACGCACGGCCCTTCTTGATGTTCAGGTGGTCCCACGGAAGTCGATCGGCAAGCCCATAAGCTTCGTGCAGAGCTTGCTCAGCATCGATCCCTACGTCGGCCAGGGTTTGCCACCAGCGTTCGGCGTCGAGATGTTCAGTCCACCCGTCGAAGCGGGCCCCTCGTTTCCAGGCCACTTCGATGGCTTCGGCCACACGACGATCGCCGCGGCTGAAGATGCCTTCGAGCATGCTCGTCTCGGTGTTGTGAATCTTGATCTGAACGCTACGCATGCGAACCTTACTGCGGAGGTATTTGTGTGCCCACTCGAAATACTCACGCCGCTGCATGGCATTCCACTGATAGGGCGTGTGGGGCTTTGGGACGAAGTTCGAAACGCTCGCCGTGACTTGTGTGGCTCGACCTCGCTCCTCACGACCAATCCTGGCGATGGTCTCGGCCATGTCGATGATACCGTCGAGATCGACGGGCCGTTCCCCCGGGAGTCCGCACATGAAATAGAGCTTCACCCGTTCGAACCCGTTGCGAAAAGCCTCGCGGCAACCATCGAACAGATCTTCGTTCGTGATCTTCTTGCGAATCTGCTCCCGCATATCGTCGCGGGCCACTTCAGGGGCCAGCGTCAGGTTGTTGCGTCGCGTGGTCGAGAGTAACGTGGCCACGCTCTTCAGGGTTTCGTTCACCCGCAGACTGGGCAGTGTGATATTCACGTTGAGCGGCTCGAACACTTCATATAGCCGCGCCAGCAGTTCTTCGAAGTGGGGATAATCGCTGGTCGATAACGAGAGCAGCGAGATTTCGTTGAACCCCGTGCTGTGATAACTCTCAAGCGCCGCCTGAACAATCGTTTCGACCTTTCGGAAACGCAAGGGCCGCTTGATTACGGTGCTCTGACAGAATCGACACTGCCAAGGACAACCACGCATGATCTCAATCGCAATGCGGTCGTGCACGCACTCCACATAAGGCACGATCGGCTTGGTAGGCAGCGGTGTGCCATCGAGATCGGAAATCACCGAAGGGGCAATCGTGGCCGGCACTTCATTACGAGTTCGATTCAGTGTGGCGTACCGCCCCTGGGCGTTGTACTCCGGTTCGTAGAACCGAGGTACATACGCAAACGGCAACTCAGCGGCCATTTTGGCCAGCACTTCTTCACGTTGCTGTCGGCTGCTTGCTTGTGCTCCGTTGACGGGCTGAGCGGGGCGTTCCCCGCGCAACTGCAACCAAAGATCGCAGATGGCCTGCAGACTTGGTTCGCCGTCGCCCGTGACGAATAAATCGACGAACGGGGCCAGCGGCTCTGGGTTCTGCGCACAAGGCCCGCCGGCGATTACCAGCGGGTGCTCAAGCCCTCGATCGACCGAGTGCAGCGGGATGCCCCCCAGGTCGAGCATGGTGAGCACATTGGTGTAGCCCAGCTCGTACTGCAGCGTGAAGCCCACCACATCGAAGTCGACCAGCGGGGTGAACGTCTCCAGCCCATACAGCGGAACATCGTGTTCGCGAAGCTGCTGCTCCATGTCGACACCCGGGGCGAAAACCCGTTCGCACGCCCAATCAGGGCGATCGTTCATCATGGTGTACAGCACCTGCAGCCCGTGGTGACTCATGCCGATCGTGTAAGCGTCGGGAAAGCCCAAGCACAGCTTTCCCTGCACGGTGCGGTGATCCTTGCGGACAACATTTAGTTCATTGCCCAGGTACTGCGCAGGCATGTGTACCTTGGGAAGGATGTGATTGACGATGAAGTCTTTTCGCTGCTGATCGATCATTGCGATGGATCTCCCAACCGCCTGGAGAAAGGTCCTGCAACGTGTCCAAAGCCCCGGAGACCTATTGAACCGCGCGGCAGAGCTGCCGTAACCCGTAGCGTATCAAGAAGATAGGGGGGCACACAACCCGCCGCCCTAGTGTTGATGGCCAATTCGTGTATAGGGATTCGGCAACCATCAACTAGACTGGATAATAGAGCGATGGCAAACAGGCTCCTGACGCGCCTGCTTGCCTGCTTTCCCTTCTCCATGACGTTACCCAATGCAGTCGGCGGGGCCTCATGAAAAAAACCAGTTCTGGTTGCTATTTGTATCGATCTATTCCAGGAAGTGGATTGCTAGCCGCGATTCTGCTGGCTTGCTCTGCCTTCGCTGTAGTGTCTACGTCCGCAGCAGCCTACCAGTCCGATCGTTTGGCCGAGACTCGCAACCGCATGGTTGATGAAGAGGTGGTCGGGGCCGGAATCAAGAACGAACGCGTCATCAAAGCGATGCGAATCACCCCTCGACACGAGTTCATCCCCACGAATCGTCGTCGATTCGCATACTACGACATGGCCTTGCCAATTGGCTCCAGCCAGACGATTTCACCACCGTTCATCGTCGCCCTCATGACGGAGTACATCGACCCCCAGCCGACCGATCGAGTGTTGGAAATCGGCACCGGCAGTGGGTATCAGTCGGCCGTATTGAGCCCGCTGGTAAAGGATGTCTACACAATCGAAATCGTCGAAGACCTAGGACGCAGGGCCTCGCGAACTCTCAGTGATCTGGGCTATGAGAACGTTCATACCCGCATCGGCGATGGATACCTTGGATGGCCCGAGAAGGCCCCCTTCGACAAGATCATCGTCACCTGCTCTCCCGAGAATGTGCCCCGCGCTCTGATTGAGCAACTCCGCGAAGGCGGAAGCATGATCATCCCCATGGGAGAACGCTTCAGCCAGAACCTTTGCCTGCTGAAGAAAGTGGATGGCGAATTGGAAGTCGAAGAGCTGCGGCCAACGCTGTTCGTCCCCATGACCGGCCGGGCGGAAGAGAAACGAAAACTACAGCCCGACGGCTCGAAACCCGCACTGCACAATGGCAGCTTTGAAGAAAGTTTTGGAGAACCTCCGCAGCTCGTTGGCTGGCACTATCAGCGGCAAATGGAGATTGTGGAGGACGATGATGCCCAAGATGGCGAGAGCTACGTCACTTTCAAAAACGAAATGCGTGGTCGCGGGGCACAAGCTCTACAGGGTTTCGCAGTCGATGGCCGCGAAGTGAAGCGGATGACGCTTTCGGCCTGGGTACGCGGGGAAGGAATTGTGCCCGGGAACCGCCGCGAGGAAATGGCCGCTATTATCGTGGTCTTCTACGACGAACTTCGTCACGAAGTGGGCACCGTTGGTCTCGGTCCCTGGCGCGGGACGTTTCCCTGGGATTTCTTCACCGCCACGGTACCCGTTCCGCCGAAGGCGCGGGACGCCATCATTCGCGTGGGGCTTTTAGGAGCTACGGGCGAAATGTCGGTCGATGGTCTGAAAGTAGAAGCCACACCGCAACCCTCTTCCCCATTCAGGGCAGGGCGAAACTCTGCTGAGTTCCGTTAATCACGCTGATGCAACGGCGAATGCTACACCGTCGCCATCCTGCGATTTGACGCACGACGGGCAAAACGGAAAGGTTCGCCGGTCAATTCATACCCTGGGCGGATGCCCACATTCAGAATGAGCCCGAGTGCGAGTCCTTGGGTAAGCATGCCCGATCCGCCGTAACTCACCAATGGAAGCGAGAGCCCCGTGACCGGCGTGAGCCCGACGGTCATCGCCACATTGATCAGCATCTGCACGCCAACCAGGGATGTCAGCCCCACAACCAGTAGGCGGCCATAAGGTTCTTGCGTAGAAGTGCCGACCGCGAACGAGCGGAACACCAACAGCATGAAGACCATCAACATGATGCCAGCGCCCACTTTGCCGAAGCGCTCACCAATCATGCTGAATACGAAGTCGGTCGCCGCTGCGGGCAGGTGATAGGCAGCCGTATCTTCCACGGCCTGGCCCGACACCCAGCTTCCCCACACGCCACCCAATGCCAACATCTGTTTCGACTGGTGAACTTGATAGCCGTCGTCCGAGGGCTTCTCACCGGGGACCGATTGCCCAAACAAGGCGGTCACACGTGACCTCTGTTCTCGACTCATCTGTGACCAGAGCACCGGCACGAGCAGCAACCCAATGAGGGCCACCACCGAGAGATCCATCAAACGCGCCCCGGCAGCTAGTAACATGACGAACAGTACAGGCAGAAACACCAACGCCGTCCCGAGATCGGGCTCTTTTAGAATCAGCAGGACGGGAATCACTGCAATAGCCAGAGGGATCAACAACCCCCGCAGGCGGCGGTAGTTTTCGGCCAGCGCCAAGTACCTTGCCAGGGCCATCACGAAAGCCAACTTGGCGAACTCCGATGGCTGAAAGCCAATGGGGCCAAGACGAATCCAACGTCGAACGCCATTGATAGGCGGCAAGAAGTAAACCACCGCCAGTAACACGACGGCGAACGCCAGGGCTACGTAACTCCATCGCCACAGTTTGCGGTAGCTGGGCATAGTTCCCAGCAGCATGACGACCACAGCCAGCCCACTCCACACAGCCTGTCGCGTGGAAAGCCCAGGGCTTCCCGTGAGGAGGGCCTCAGAGCGGTCTATCGCCACAATCCCCAGAGCCATCAGGCCAATCGCCATCAAAACGATCGACCACGGCATCCGTCTCAGCCAATCAGTCGTGGTCACTCGGGGGGTCCGTTCCTGATTGCCGGGTGCTCGAAAGGGAAAAGTCTGCCCATGGTGTCCGTCGGTAGGAGGATATGCCTTCCTCAGGTACAGCAAGCTGGTGCGGATACTAGGAAATGAGGCCACGCCAGTGCGAGATCAAACCACCCGGGGATGTAGTTTTCTGGGTTTTTGGCCAAGGTGAAGATTTTGAAAGAATCGAGTCCTGGAACAGAGCTCCCCCAGAGCCCCCCACACTTCCTATGGCGTTTGCCTCCCCATGAATTTGGGGGGAACGAGTGGAAAATCGGCATAAAATATTACAAAATAACAACTTAAACAAATCCACGTAGAATCGTCCAGGCCGAAGACTTCTTACCCAAACACCCAAACTTTAGGCAATCTTCCCCTAAATCGCCCCCTTCAGTCGACCCACAAATTTTGTGTAAGTTCTTTGTTTTGCGTGCTATCGTTGGTATGTTCTGCGGAAGCACAACGCCCAGACTTTCAGTGTTAGCCAAGGGGAGCAAGGAACTTATGTTACGAAATCGATCAAAAACCTTCCTGATCGGTGCGACGGTTTGGGCTGGATATCTGGCCCTCACAGTCTCAACCGCCGACGCCTTCTGGCACCGGCATGGTAGTAGTGGATCTTGGGGCTCCAGCGGCGGTTCGTCCGGCAGCTGGGGTGGAAGCAGCGGTAGCTGGGGATCCAGCGGCGGATCCAGCGGTAGCTGGGGTTCGAGCGGTGGTTCGTCCGGTAGCTGGGGATCCAGCGGTGGATCGTCTGGCGGACATCGTTGGCACCATCGTCGTGCCTGGCGTCACTCCAGCGGTGGATCGTCTGGAAGCTGGGGATCCAGCGGCAGCAGCGGAAGCTATGGCTCCAGCGGCGGTTCGTCCGGTAGCTGGGGATCGAGCGGTGGCTCGTCCGGCGGATCTTCGGGTGGTGTAATCATCGAATCGCACGAAGCTCAAAGCCCCTCGGATGCCCCTTCGGCTCCGGCACCTGCCGATGGCGACATGACCTACCGTCCGTCGAACGACGGCATCATGCTCACCGTCAACGTTCCGGCTGGCGCGAAGATCAAGGTGAATGGCCTCGAAACCACCAGCACTGGTGAAGTACGTCGCTACATCTCTCGCGGCCTGGAAGACGGCTACACCTACAACTACGAAGTTGAAGCCACCATCACCCGCGATGGCAAAGAAGTGACCGAAACCAAGTCGGCTCGCGTTCAAGCTGGCCAATCGGTCGCCATGGATTTCGACTTCAGCGATTCGAGCGAACTCAACGCCAAGAAGGAAGAAAAGAAGCCGACGAAGCTCACGCTGATCGTGCCTTCGGACGCCAAGGTCTTCCTCGCCGGCCACGAGACCAAGTCGAAGGGTCGCGTGCGTGAGTTCAGCACCACGAAACTCAGCAGCGAATGGGCCGACTACCCGGTCCGCGTTGAGTTCACTGTGGATGGTGAAACCATGGTGAAGGAAGAAGTCGTCTCGCTGCAAGCCGGCGATAGCCGCGAACTGCAATTCGACTTCGAACCGGCCAAGATCGCCCAGGCGAACACTGGTCGCTAGTTGAAGATTGATACGACCCGCAGACGGCGAACGATCGCTGCCGGCGGAAAGGACGTCAAAAGACGAATCACCCTCGCACGGGCTTCGACCCGTGCGAGGGTTTTCCTATTTCGGGGCACCTGGTTTCCACCGCAAGGTTTTACTTTTCGGAAAGTGTTCCCCCGGTCGATAAAAGTTTCGTCGCAGTAAGACACCCTGCAACGCCACTGTGCGATGCAGCCCGTAGCGCGACGAAGTCGCTCACTCCGGAACAACAACGTCACGCTGAAGTTCCTGAGCTCTCCAACCTGAAATCCCTCCCCACTGCTCACGGTCCATGTCATGAGCCAAACCCTCACGCCCAGCGCGAGCTCTCAAGTGTTCGAAGCTCCAATTACGTTGGCTCCAAAATGGCGGGCGTTGATTAGCGTGCTCGTTGTCTTGCACGTGGCTGCAATCTTCAGCGCACCCTATGCATTGCCACCGACACCGGCCATCGCCACGCGGATGTGGGAGTTCTTTCGGCCTTACCTACAAGCGTGTTACCTGAACCATGGGTATGCGTTCTTCTCACCCGATCCCGGGCCCAGTCATTTGATTCGCTACGAGATTGAACTTCCCGACGGGAAGCAGGTTGAAGGGATCTTCCCCAACCTGGAAGAACACCAGCCGCGGTTGTTATACCACCGGCACTTCATGATGTCGGAGTTCCTCACCACCGCGCCGCGAAACTCGGAAGGGCGGAAGGCTTACCTGAAATCGTATGCTCAGCATCTGCTGCACGAACACAACGCTGAGAAAGTAACCCTGTACTTCGTCACCCACCTCTTGCCAGGTCCACTGCAGGTGAATGACGGGATGCGGCTAAACCATCGCAGCCTATATGAGGAACAACGCGAGATAACGCTGGCGGCCGATGGCACCGTTGACTACCCGCCGGAAGCCATGCGATCGGAGCCCGAGCCCGAGTTCATTCCACTGCAGGGCACACCGGTTCCCGATCCGATCAGTGGTCCAGGTCTGGGACAAATGATGTCGCCAGCCATGCAAGGAGCATCGCTGTGAATTCATTGATTGAACCCGTACGCGATTGGTTCCGCACTGGCATCCGTGGTTGGAATGAATTCTGGTTTCGACCCAGCGACCCGGCCACACTAGGACTCATCCGCATCCTTGGTGGTGCGATGTTGTTCTACACGCACTTTGTCTGGGCGCTCGACCTGGAAGCCTTCTTTGGCGAGCAACCGTGGCTCACACACGAAGCCGTCACCTATCGCGAGGCGGGTAATTATGCGTGGAGCTACTTGTGGCTAATCCACTCATCGACTGTGTTGTGGATCGCCCACTTTGCGGCTCTCGTGGTCTTTGCCTGCCTCACCGTGGGGCTGTTCACTCGAGTGACTTCAATCCTGGCTTTCGTAATTGCGGTGGCCTACGCCAATCGCCTGACCGGAGCTTTGTTCGGACTCGACCAGATTAATGTCATGCTGGCGTTGTACATCATGGTTGGCCCGAGCGGGGCGGCTTATTCGCTCGACCGGCTTATCGCCCGACGGCGGGAAGGCAACCTGGCAGTGCTTCCTCGCACCGGAGCCACCGTGGCGATTCGGTTATTGCAACTTCACATGTGCATCATCTATCTCTTCGCCGGCATGGCCAAGAACGGCATGTTCTGGGAAGAGGGCACCGCAATCTGGTTCTCGGTGGCCAACCTTGAATACCAGTCGATGGATCTGACCTGGATGTCCAACCATCCGTACCTGGTGAACTTTTTCACACTCGCTACGGTGTGGTGGGAGCGAAGCTACATCGCACTGGTGTGGCCCCGGTTCACCCGGCCAATCGTGATCATGATTGCAGTGGCCATGCACCTGGGTATCGCCTTTGGAATGGGCATGATCACCTTTGGACTGGCCATGATCTTTGGCAATATGGCCTTCGTTTCACCGCGACTGGTTCGAGCCGTGGTCGACCCAACCTTGGGCCGTCTTGAATCCCTCACTGGACTGACCAGCACCCAGAATTCGAACGCGACCGAAGCTCCAACGGAACCCGAGAAGCAGCAAACCACCGGCAAGAGAAGTCGGAAATCACGCAAGCCCACGAACAAAGTCGCCGAACCCAACGCGGCGTAGCTCGTTGCGAGCTCTGGGCTTCTTTAGCTGCTCTAACGGTCGCCCAATTGCCTACCGGCGACCACACGGTTTATACTGCCGGGTTAATGTCGCCCACCCCGGGTAGTGTCTGTGTTCATGGCCACGTGGCCCTAGGCCTTAGCCAATCCGAGGGGACGGGCTCCCCAAGCTGAACCAGTTTGGCACTTGATGTGTCGCTCTGGAAATTTCGGGGTATTCTCGGGACCGATTCAAATAAACTGCCTGGAGTTCTTACGTGTTTAAGACCATTGCCGTAGCCGGTGCGACAGGCGCCGTCGGGACGTTGATTCTACGCTTGCTCGAAGAACGGGATTTCCCCTACGAGAACATTAAACTGCTGGCCTCCCAGCGTTCAGCAGGCAAGAAGCTCACGTTCGCCGGCAAAGAACACGATGTCGAGTTGCTCTGCCCGGAAGCCTTTGAAGGAGTCGACCTGGTCATCGGCAGCACTCCCGACGAAGTGGCCGCCGAGTTCGCTCCTTGGGCAGTCGAGCGAGGCTGTGTCGTGGTCGACGAAAGTGGTTATTGGCGTATGGACCCCAAGGTACCACTGGTTGTGCCGGAAGTGAACCCCGAGGCCGCCGAATCGCATCAAGGCATCATTGCCAGCCCCAACTGCTCGACCACCCAGATGGTCGTCGCGCTCAAGCCACTCCACGATGCGGCCCGACTGCGTCGCGTACTGGTGAGCACCTATCAAGCCACCAGTGGCGCCGGGCTAGGAGGCTCTCGCGATTTGAAGGATGGTAGCCGGAAGCATCTGGCCGGCGAACAACATCAATACGAAGCGTTCGCCCATCCGATCGCCTTCAACGTGATCCCTCAAATTGGTTCGCCCAAGCACGAGGGCTACACCTCGGAAGAAATGAAGATGGTTCACGAGACCCATAAAATCTTGGGCGACGATTCGATCGGCATCTGTCCCACTTGCGTTCGCGTTCCGGTGGCCAACTGCCATAGCGAAACGATTGTCGTCGATACCGAACGCAAGCTTAGCGTGGCCGAAGCCCGCGAACTGTTTGAAGCAATGCCGGGAATCTCCGTTGTCGATGACCTCGATGCGAAGCAATACCCCATGCCGATCAACAGCGACGACCGCGACGAAGTCTTCATTGGCCGCATCCGCGAAGATCTCTCCAGCCCCAACGGCCTGGCTTTCTGGTGCGTGAGCGACAACCTTCGCAAGGGGGCTGCCACCAACGCAGTCCAAATTGCCGAACTGCTCATCCGCAGCCGCGCTGCAGCCACCTAAGAACAATCAGGCATCAGCAAAACTGCTGTAGGGCCTGTTCAACGATTGCCTAGAAGCAGGGCAGGGCGGTGGTCTCTGAAGGTGTGCATGTAGTACGTGGCGAACGATGCGAAACATCAAGCTCACTCTTCGCTACGACGGTAAGGCGTACAGCGGGTGGCAGGCTCAGCGCGATCGGCGAACGGTTCAAGGCACCGTGACTGAAACCCTGGAAAAGATCACCTGTCAGCCAGTGCGCCTGTTCGGTAGTAGTCGCACCGATGCCGGCGTGCATGCCTACGGCCAGGTGGCCAACTTCCACACCGAGACGCACCTCACTTGCGATGTCCTGCGGCAAGCGGCCAACGCGGAGCTGCCGAAAGACATTCAGGTGGTCGAAGTTGCGGAAGTAACGGAGTCATTTCACGCCATCTCTGACGCCATTCGCAAGCGGTATCGCTACGTGCTCGACGACGGTAATCCCGGCGACCTGTTTCGCCGCAACTACACCTGGCACGTTCGCTCCAAGCTGAACGTGGAAGCCATGCACCGGGGGGCTCAACACCTGCTCGGCAAGCACGACTTCCGCAGCTTTGAAACCCATTACCCCAACCGCACTACGAGTGTGCGGACCATTCTCGATATCGAAGCACGCCGGGCCGACGACGAGCGGGGGAGTTTCGTACATGTGGAGGTCGAAGCCGACGGGTTTCTTTACAACATGGTTCGCACCATCGTCGGCACCCTGGTCGATGTGGGGCTCGGTCGCCAGCAAGAAATCTGGCCGGCCGAGGTGTTGGCCGCTCTCGATCGCAGTGCGGCCGGAATGACGGCTCCGCCGCAGGGGCTGTTCCTACTGTGGATCGACTACGGCGAAGGGGCAGGGCAGGGGGGGTAACTCAGCCGAACCCCATCGAGAGAACAGCAGAACCAAAAGCTGTTTCCGAAGTCGCCCAAAGCCCTTATCTTGTTCGACATCATCATGCGTGCAGGAATCAATCGAACGGGCAAGGTGCAGCGATGGATCTTAAGGGAATGGTCGAGCGAGCCGACACGCTACCCGGCCGAATCTTCGACCTGGTGATTGAAGGTCTGATTCTCGTATCGCTTGTCAGCTTTTCGATCGACACCATTCCCAACCTCAGTCAGGACACTCGCTACTGGCTGAACGTGGTTGAGGTGATCACCGTATCTCTGTTCACCATCGAATATGGTCTACGCATTCTTGTGGCCGACAATCGCTTGAAGTACATCTTCAGTTTCTACGGAATTCTCGATCTCCTGGCGGTGTTACCATTCTATATCTCAGCCGAGCTCGACCTGCGTTCAGCCCGAGCGTTCCGGCTACTACGATTCGTCCGAGTGCTCAAGCTCACCCGATACACCGATGCACTTTCCCGCATGCGCCGTGCTTTTGTCGATATACGCGAAGAACTGATCTTGTTTTGCGTCGTCTCCGGGCTATTAATCTTCATGGCATCCGTCGGCATCTACTACTTCGAACGCGATGCTCAACCCGACAAGTTCACCTCGATCTTTCATTGTATGTGGTGGTCGATCATCACCCTCACCACGGTCGGCTACGGAGATGCCTATCCAGTTACCCCCGGCGGCCGGGTGTTCACCGCGATCATCGTGATCATCAGCTTGGGCTTCGTGGCAGTACCCACTGGTTTGTTTGCAGCCGCGTTGACGAAGACAGCGAAGGTAGATGACTTGTAGTGAGTGATTGACTCTGCTCTTCTGTCGCCTGAGAGCTGGGAAACTTATCTCCGCAACTTGGCGTGTCACGCTTTCTAATCCCAATGCGATACCGGCAAACATTGCACCCTTCGCGGTGGCAAGTAAGGTAGACTCATGGCAGGTGTCGGTACCCCAAGGTCGCGCAAAGAACTTCCCTGGATTCCTATTTCACTGGTGCACGGCACTAACTGCTCTGTCACGCACTGGCTGCCTGGATAAGCGCTTATGAGCAATTCATCCGGACTAGATCGCTCACGTCGGCGACACCGCTGGTTTGCTCTGGTCGCATTACTAATTGCCGTGGCTTCTTCGTTGATTCTGACCGAAGCCACGCTGAGAATTCTGTCTTATGATCCTCTCACGCACGAAGAAGTAACGATAGAGATCGAGAAACTTGGTACGACAGGCACCGGCGACGAGACAGGCGGTCACGCCCTAGCAGCAGATATGGAGCTCATGCGTCCCGACTCCATCTTGGGGTACACGCATCGCCCAGGAGAGTATCAAGTCGAATTGAAGGACGGTTATTCCTTCAGGATGACCCATGACAAGGATGCTTTAAGAATTACTCACCCTCAATCGGAAGACGATCTATTTGATGATCTGCCGTCCATCTGGATATTCGGTTGCTCTTTTACCCATGGATGGTCGGTCGACGATGAGGACACGTTTGCCTGGAAGCTCCAAGAAAGATTCTCCAGCTACAACATTGTAAACTTCGGCGTCAGTGGCTACGGGCAAGTTCACGCATTACTTCAATTCCAAGAGGCCCTGAAGACTCGGCTACCACCGCAACTGGTTATTTTAACTTACGCGCACTTCCACGATGAACGAAACACATTTGGGCGTGCGTACCGAAGAGCCACGGTAATGAACATGGCTCCTCAGATGCGTGGCACTCCATTTCCCTATGCAAAGCTCGCAAAGGCCAACTCTGCAACTGTTGAGCGGCGGCCCGCGGCTTATTTTGGTCTGCCAATCTTTAGGAACTCCGCATTGGCCACCTTTGTCGACGCCGCATTTGATGGCCTCGACGATCGCTACACTCGTAGTCACGATGTTTCTCAGGCCCTGGTGTTGGAGTTCAGTCGTATTTGCAATCAGCATGGCATCGAGCTTGTGGTTGCCGGTCTCACGCAAGAACCCGCCACATGGAACATGATGGCGTTCTGCCTTCGACACGGGATACGCCGGGTAGACATCTCCTTCGACTATGAAAACCCCGACTACATGAACTTACCACACGACGAAACCCATCCTTCGCCGGCCGGCCATCTGATTTATGCCGGGCGACTCGCAGCTTTTTTGGAGAATGAAGGTCTCGTCAAGCCTGCTCCTGCAACAGCTGCAACCAACGTTTCTCTCCTTGGAATCCGAGAAATCGGGCTATCTAAATGAGTGGCAGCAACCGGAAGGAGAAGACCTCGTCGAATCCCCAGGATGGTCCGACGAAGCAGCGATCGATGTCTCGCGATTCCAACAAGAGCAACATCAGAGCAGCGAAATTCTCAAGTCACTCTCGAAATGCTTTTCTTTGGAGCGTCGTCTTCGTTGCGGTCTTCGTATCTCTTCTAGCCTGGCGACATGAGTACCTAGACTCACCACCGTATTGGGACGCTGCCACTGGCCTCTGGAGTGAGGCCGCATTCCTTGCTGACACAAACTTCGATTTAGCAGGATTCCAGTCAACTAAATCAGAAGCAACCATCTCTTCGGATAGCACTGTAGCGGCTGCAGCCATTCTGGCACTGCTCATGCGAGCTTCGCCCTCAAGTGCAATTATGTTTTCGCACCTTTTCGTGTTCTTCGCGGCCGCTGCAACTACAGTTTTAGTGATTTCGATTCTACAGCCCAGCATTGGTTGGCTGTCGGCGATATTAATGGGTCTAATCGTTCTATTCACGCCGCTATTCAGTGCTCAAATCGAGCAAGTCGGCACACCACTAGTGATGACGGCGATGGTGTTGCTCGCATTGCGTTTGTTAGTTCGCGGCCGCTGGGTCACTTCAGGCCTGCTCACGCTTGCAGCCGTTCAGATAAGTTTTGCGGCGATGCCCGCGATTCTCGGAATCTTGATTTATCTTGCTTTTAAGCTTCGCAACTCAAATAGTCAGGCCCTCAAGCCTTTCCTGGTGTTTTGCACCCTACTTGTCATCGCAGCCTTGCTGAATTGTTGGTCGACCCCCACCGCATGGCAAGAAAGCCCAACACGGTACACCATCGCCATGGGAGGCTGGGACTACGTTGCACGCTTTTGGGCTCCGGATGCCGTCCTCTCAATACTACTCTCCCTCGCTGTGGGTCTCTTGTTGTTTAGAGAGCATGGTGAATACGCACCGAATGATGCGAGATCCTGGTCTTTGGCTTTTGCCCAGCTTTCGTGGTGTGTACTTGCAGCAAGTGTGGTTTGGGGATCATTCCACGAACTGATGCCGCCCGACTTGACGCTCTCCGTGGCATTGATGGCAATCGTTTTTGGTGCTGCGGCCTTAGCTTCTGGCCCCCTAAAGGTGCCAGCCGCTGTCCTAGCGGTAGGATTCTTAGTATTCCAGATCTCAAACCAGCATGGTCGCTTTTATCCCGATCCATCGATTCTGCACGGGCCAGAGTTCGCCCGCACCGGAAGTGCCCTCCTACGCAGCCTTGAGTACCGGATCGACCATCGAGCGAACATCGAAGCGGTGAAAAGTATCGTCGAGAAGGGGAACGGGAGACCAGTAATCTCCGGCGCGCCCCTGACCTACTTTCTTTCGATTCCGCGGTTGGGGTATGTGGAGAAACCGGTTCAAGGATACTGCCTGCAACCTGTGGTCCAAGCATCACCAAGCATGGTACTCGTGAATTCGGCACTAGTATCTTGGCCCGAAGATCCAGTCTACCTATTGTCGGCCAATCTTTACTTTTACGATTCACCCTCGGTGTTGCTTACAGGACCTACAGAAAACGACACCGTCATTTATCGAGATGGTGAGTCATCGCCACTGATCGCTTACCACCCCATGAACCACGAGTCGCCTGAAGAAACTCTAAGCTGGGTCCTCGATCGATTTTCTCTGTACGCATCTGTTTACCACCGCGCATTGTCGCGGGCGATCATTTATGAGCATCGGGGCGAACTCGATAAAGCACTTGAAATTCTAGAAGAGGAACTAAATCATTCGCCTGCGAACAGCGAAGTGAGAGTTGCCCTTGCTAAGCTTCTTCTCAAGCAAGGCGATGTTGAACGTGCCGAGGAAGAGCTGGCCCTAACTTTACAGCATAATCCGCAGCACGTTGAAGCCACAGTGCAGATGGGCTTGTTGCGTTTGAAGCAAGAACAGTTGGAGCAAGCGGCGGAGTTGTTCGAGCGTGCTATCGAAGAATCACCCGGTCGAGCCGATGTGCATGAGTACCTGGCGGCTACGATCACGCGACAAGGGCGTTTCGAAGATGCCATAAAGCATCTCACGCTTGCTCTCAAGTTGGAGCCTGCCAATCCAGACACACATTTCAATTTGGGAATCTTGAATGCCCAGATTGGCAAGAAAGCTATCGCGATTGAGCACTTTCGCGAAGCCCTGCGATTACGTCCAGACTTCCCAGCGGCACAACAAGCGTTGAGCCAACTGGGAGCGACGCAGCCATGAACCACTCGGATTAAGGCTAGGCTCCCTGATCAACCGTACTTGTCTTAGAATGCACGGATGCGAGTCGCACATATCATCACACGCTTGATCCTTGGCGGGGCCCAGGAAAACACACTGTTGACCTGCGAGGGGTTGATCGAGCGGTATGGGGACGATGTACTGCTGGTCACGGGACCGGCTGTGGGTCCAGAGGGGAGCTTGATGGAGCGGGCCGAATCGCGCGGTGTGCCGATCGAACTGGTTCCCTCTCTCCGACGTGCGATTCATCCATGGCACGACGCAGTGGCCCTGAGGCAACTCAAACGCGTGCTGCGGGAGTTCAAGCCCGATGTGGTGCATACCCATAGCGCGAAGGCGGGCATTTTAGGAAGGGCAGCAGCCACGGCGCTGGATGTACCGGCAGTTGTTCACACCGTGCACGGGGCGCCGTTCTATCCGTACCAGGGCAGGGCGGTGCGACTGTTCTATCAGGCCTGCGAACACTGGGCGGCCAAGAGGTGCCATGCGTTGATTAGCGTGGCCGACGCCATGACCAACTTGATGGTCGAAGCGGGCGTCGCCCCGGCCGATAAGTTCACCACCATCTACAGCGGGATGGATGTCGAACCTTTTCTGGCCGCAGAAAAACATCGAGGGTCCGCACGTGCGGCGTTGGGGTACGAAGATCACCACGTGGTGATTGGCAAGGTCGCCCGATTGTTTCACCTCAAAGGGCATGAATACGTCATTCAAGCTGCCCGAAGTGTGATCGACCGGCACCCCAACGCCCGCTTTCTTTTTGTCGGCGATGGAATTCTACGAGAGAACCTTCAACGCCAAATCGAGAGCAGGGGACTGACCGACTACTTCCAATTTACGGGCCTCGTCCCCCCGGGGCGAATCCCGGAGTTGATCTCTGCGATGGACATCGTCGTTCATGCCAGTCTCCGCGAAGGATTGGCTAGAGTGCTTCCCCAAGCAATGATCTCCGGCGTGCCGGTCGTCAGTTACGACGTTGACGGCGCCCGCGAGGTGGTTCTGCCCAGTGAGACAGGGTTCTTATTGCCAGCGAAGGCGATCGATGAGATGGCCGAAGCACTAGATGAATTAATCTCCGACCCTCAGCTACGACGCACACTAGGCCAAGAAGGCCGCCGTCGATGGACCGAGGTGTTTCGTCACGAGCACATGACGGATGAGATCCGGAAGTTGTATGAGCACGTGCTGGAGGAGCGTGGTTTCAAACCAGATCAACTCACTACGCCTCCAACAACACCTTGATCGGATTGTCCTTCTTTTCAATCGCCAGGCAGAACGCTTCGGCTGCTTGAGAAAGAGGGAAGCGGTGAGTAATCAACGGGGAAACGTCGAGGCGGCCTTGGGTGATCATGTCCAGGGCCAGCGGCAGATCGCGCTGCACGTCGGGGTGCACCGAAGAAATAAAGCGAATGTTCTGGCGGAACATTTTCCACACCGGCAGCGAACACTCTTCTGCATCGGGCACACCGAACATCAACACGGTGCCGTGCTTCTTGCACAAGTCAACCGCCAAATGGATAGGGGCGACATCGTGTCCTACCGCTTCGACAACAATATCGACTCCTTCACCATCGGTTAGCTCATGCACCGCTTTCGTAGGATCTTCGCGATCGACATTGATCGTATGTGTGGCCCGCATCCTACGCGCAGTCTCAAGTCGATAGTCGAGCTTATCCAGTGCGATCACTTTTCGCGCGCCGAGGTTCGACAGCAGATGGCTGAACATCAGCCCAATGGGACCTTGCCCGACGATCGCCACGTCGAGGCCGAGCAGGTTCGGCAACTTTCGGGCCGCCCAAATCACGGTGCCCAGCGGTTGGGCGAGAATCAGATGCTCCCGTGGTTCGTAATCCATAGGCAGCGGAACAGCCATCGATGCATCGGCTACGAAGTGATCACTGAGCCCGCGTTGGTCGGGAGGGATGGCCAACGTCCAATCGCCGGGCTTGAATCGCTCGCTACGACTATCAACCACCTCGCCAATCAACTCATGCAGGCTGTCTCCCAGTGGTCGCGGGAACTGAATGTTAAACGCACCGCCTACAAAGCGAGGATAGTCGGAGGCACACAACACGCCTGCCTGGAGCCGAACCAGAATCGGCTGCCCCTCGATCTTGTCGAGGTCGGGCAGGGGGGTGTCAACGAATTCCAGCTTGCCCGGCGAAACTATCTGCGCACACTTCACTCCAGCCACTCCCACTCAGAACAGAAATTCCAACCCGATGGTGTCGAATACGAAGACACGTGTTGTAGTCGAACCAGAGGGGGCAGACAACGGATTGAGGCCAGGAGTGGAAAGCTGATCCAGGAGTAGGGGAGCCGACTCGCGTTGAGGCCCCCCCCAGCGAGAGTTACACTGGAGGTTGGTAAAAAGTCGCCTCAGGAACACCCACATGGAAGTTCCTCGGGGAAGCCTTCATCTCAACAGGCAGCAAAGGCAAAGCGACCCCGTGGCATACGGCAGTCAGCAGAGAATTGGCGGATATCGGTTACTGAATGTCATCATGACCGGCCAGACCTCGCAGGTCTGGGAAGCGATGCACGACTCGTCGGGCACCCGGTATGCGCTGAAGATGCTGCTAAGCGACTATCGCCGAGACCGTGAACACATTTCCTACATGAAGCAGGAATGGGAAGTCGGCAGCAAGCTGGAACATCGATACGTGATCAACCTGGTTGAGTTTTCAACCAAAGGCGACTCGCCGTACTTGGTGATGGAATACTTCCCCTGGCCGAACATCAAGCAGTACATCAATGCCGGCGTCGAGCAGTTCGCCTTCATGGCCCCCAAGATCATTGAAAAATGCGCTGCCGGCTTGGCCTACTTCAACGACCAGGGGTGGATCCACCGCGATATCAAGCCTGACAATTACCTGTTGACCGACGAAGGCGACGTGCGGCTGATCGACTTTGCCCTCGGCATGAAGCCCAAGAAGGGCTTGGCAAAGCTGTTCGCCGGCAAGAGCAAGATCCAGGGAACCCGCAGCTATATGTCCCCGGAGCAAATTCGAGGGCTACCGCTGGATCAACGGGCTGACGTATACAGCTTTGGCTGCACGGCTTACGAAATGGTAACCGGAAAACGCCCCTATACGGGGGTTAGTGCCAACGAACTTTTGATGAAGCACATCAAGGCGGCTCCTCCGACGGCCGAGGCCACAAATAGTAACGTCACCCCAGAATTTGCGCTGCTACTACAGCGTTCTATCGCGAAGAAACCCGAGGATCGCCCCGAGTCGATGACCAAGTGGCTGGCGGAGTTTAAGTCGATTCGGGTATTCAAAGAGCCCCCCAAACCGCCCGGGAACGAGGAATGAGGTGAAAATGCGACGTCGCGGGCTCCAACTTCCGATGTTATCCTGAAGGGGCCCGGTTTAGTCCCGCCGCTCGAGGTGCTGGCGCCGTCGTTGCTGGCAACGATCGGATGTTATTGCTAGTCGAAATTCGGTACGATTTAGCAGACAAAACATTGTATTGCACTCAAAAGAGACCATGAGCAAAACCCAACATCGCCTGGCGTTTGAACAACCCATCTGCGAGCTGGAAGCCCGCTTGGCCAAGCTCGAAGCCTCGACCGACGACAGCGTCGAGTCAGCCGATGAGATTCGTCGTCTTCGACGCGAACTGGCCGATCTGACGAAGAAGATCTACAGCCAGCTCGAACCCTGGGAAACCGTGCAAGTTTCCCGACATCCCGAGCGGCCGATGACAACCGATTATCTCGACCTGGTTTTCGACGAGTTTGTCGAACTCCATGGCGACAAAGCCTTCGGTGACGATCGGGCACTTCGTTGCGGGTTCGCCAAGCTCGACGGCTACAAGGTGATGGTGGTCGGCCATCAAAAAGGCAATAACTTCAAAGAGCGCAGCAAGTGCAACTATGGCTGTGCCCATCCCGAAGGTTATCGCAAGGCGATGGCCAAGATGCGGATGGCAGCCAAGTTCGGCATGCCCATCATCTGCTTTATCGATACCCCGGGTGCGTACCCTGGCATCGGGGCTGAAGAACGTGGCCAGGCTCGCGTCATCGCCGAAAACATGTTCGGCATGTCGCGGCTTCCGACACCGATCGTCTGTGTGGTGATTGGCGAAGGTGGCTCCGGCGGCGCCCTAGGCATTGGTGTTGGCGATCGGGTCGCCGTACTCGAGCATGCGTATTACTCGGTCATCAGTCCTGAAGGATGCGCCGGCATCCTTTGGAAAAGTGGTGCCTATGCCGAACAGGCAGCCAAGGCGCTGAAGATGACCTCGAAGCACCTTCATCAAATGGGCGTGGTCGACGATGTAATCGAAGAGCCGCTCGGAGGTGCTCACCGCGACCACCATCAAATGGCCGCTCGACTGAAGATGTTCCTAACGCGTTCGATGCGTGAGCTGGAACAAATCCCTCGCGATGAACTCGTCGTAGCTCGTTACGATAAGTTCCGCCAGATGGGCGTGTTCCTCGAATCGGCCATGGAAGCTGCCGCTGCAGAAGAAGCAGCTCAGCCAGCCGACGAGACGAGCAAGGCTTCTTAGTGGGAATTACCCGCGATCATCTGCTGATGTAATGCCGGCTGGCTCTTCGAGCTTCGTCGTGTGAATTGAACTCGCAGCTTTCCGCGCGCCTTTCGGAAAGAGCTTGCTGCCGAGTAGCCCCCAGCGGGCCATCCGAAATCGGCTTCCGGTCCTGAGACAGCCAAGCCCGTAGACGACACTACGGCGGAAGTTGATCGACGATGCTTCAGCAAAGTATTTCGTCGGGCAGCTCACCTCGGCGATCTGGTGGCCGTACCAAAGGATCTGAGCCAACATCTGGTTGTCGAACACAAAGTCATCTGAATTCTCCTCGAGCGGTAACTGCTCGAGCAGTTCGCGAGAGAACGCTCGGTAGCCGGTGTGATACTCCGAGAGCTTGGCGCCCAGCAGCACATTCTCGGTGAACGTAAGGAACCGGTTGGCCACATACTTCCAAGATGGCATGCCACCAGCCAAGGCGTAACCACCCAAGATCCGCGAGCCCAGCACACACGAGTACAAGTCGTTGCCAATTAGCGAGACCATCGCCGGGATGAGCTTCGGCGTGTACTGGTAGTCTGGGTGCACCATGATCACGATGTCGGCGCCTTCTTCCAGAGCCAGTCGGTAGCACGATTTCTGGTTCCCGCCGTAGCCCCGATTCTCGGGATGCGTGAACACGGTGACATGGTCCAGGGCCTGAGCCACCGCGGTCGTCTCGTCGCTGCTGGCGTCATCGACGACGATCACGCGATCGACCACACCTTGGGCCATGACTTCGTCATAGGTGGTCCGCAGGGTACGGGCGGCGTTGTAGGCCGGCATGACGACGACGACTTTTTTATCAGCGAACATAGTCTCTTTCAGAAGGTTGATCTCAGGCGCTGGGAAGTGCTATCGATGAGGGCTGAATCCTACTCGAATCGACACCGGTCGAGCCAGGGTTTGGCTGCAAATTCTCACCGAGACGAGTCGCGATCCAGACCGAGGTCAGATCGCCAATTCCGAGGTCACACGGCCCACAGAACTGGCCACCGAGCTGGGATCATTCCAGCATAATCTGCCGCCTGAGATTGCCATGGCTTGGTAGTCGTTTTTTGTCCCTTGGAACCCCAGGGAAGGGCCCTATAAACCCACCAAACCAGGCCTTTCTCGACCACCCTACAACGTCCGATAATGTTTCTTATGTTCGGTTACATGGTGGACGAAACCCTTGTTTTTACGGGGTTTCATGAAAACCCCCGTTGGCCCCACTTCCCACACCTTTGCCGGTGCTGCGAGGCTCGGGTCTGGTGGCTACTCGGGATAAAACCCGACCAAAACTTGGCGGCATCTTAGCGTGCTCTGCGGTGCGTGGAACACAGGAAGTTGCCGGCTCTGGAAGTGGCTGGCAAGGAGTCCCCTGCCTGATTTGTTCTCACAGATTTCACTCCCCAATGAGACAGAAATCGGGCCCCTTTTCGACACCGCCCAATGTAGGTCTTGGGCTCCAGATTTTGGCATTTCAGCCGGTCCGAATTCGGGCTCGCATCAGCTCCCAGAAACTTCACCCTGGGCGCCAAGTTGCCGGCCATATACTCCGCTCGCACCGCCCTGCCCCCCTGCCAAATTGGCAAGCGACGGGGCGGCTTACAGCCCTAGGAGTTGGTCTCGAATAGCCGTCGCGGTCCGCTGGGCGGGATCTTCAGCCTCGTGGGTGTGCCCCTCAGTGTTCAGCCCCTGCTCAAGCTTGTCGAGATATGGGGAGAGCACATCGTGAACCTCCTCGGGCATCACGGGCCCTGCCCGATCAATGAGCACCGAGATGTAATGCCCCGACCGAGAGTGCAGTGCCAACTCCCTGGCATCTTCTGAGAGTGTGACCGCGAAGAAGGTGATGGCGATACAAAGCACCACGCCCTTGGCCGCCCCAAACAGTGCCCCAACTTGGCGGTCGAAGTCTTTCAGCTTGATGCGATCGATCATGCCTGCCACGAGGCGGAAGATGAGCCAGATGGCCAGCGAGGTACCCAGGTACAGAATCAGCATGGCTACGAATCGGTTCCAAGGCTCCTGAGCACCTACATGCGGAGCCAACTGGGGGCTGAACCGCAACGCAACGGCGAAGCTGAAGAAGATTGAACTCAGCGAGGCCAACTGCCAGGCCATGCCTTTCCAGGCACCGAAGATCGTTGTGCCCAAGAACACCACGAGCATAGCGATGTCGTAAATTTGCATTGCCTGTATCTCCCGCGTACTGAATGAAGTGCTATCAGGCTCTTCGCCAGGCCTTCTTGATTATTGGAATGAAACCACAAGCCGGCGAAGTATAGCGGGGGTGGGCAGGGCGACGAAGATCAGTCCACCGCATCCAGAACGCTGTTCACACTCTGGGTAGAAGTGCTCGATGATCTACCCAAGGGCAGGGGACAGAGTAGCCAGCTGCTGAGCCTGCGAGCTAGCACCTTCTCGCCGATTGTCCTGTGTCGGAAATAAGAACCCGGCATTGATTGAGTATTGCTCTTGGCCCGGGCCAGTATGGTTCGATACAAGACCCAACCGCGTTCGGTCACTCACAACGGTCCTACGCTAGCAAAGCAAGAACAATGGCTGACTTCAAAACTCACATCACCACCAGCAGCGTGCTGGGCATCGGTTACGGCACGGTAGGGTTGATGTACCTGGACGTGCCATTGCCGACCGCCGTTCTCGCCGGAGGACTGTGTGGCGTCTCGGGGATGCTCCCCGACCTGGATAGCGGCTCGGGCATTCCCTTGCGCGAGAGTGTCGCTTTCACAGCTGCTGTGGTTCCGATGCTGATGGTACATCGCCTTGAGATATTGCTTGGCTCAACGGAGTTAGTTGCCCTTGCTGGCGCGTTCATCTATCTAACGATCCGCTTCTTGATGGGTCCCATGCTATCGAAGTACACGGTTCACCGTGGCATGTTTCATAGCATTCCTGCTGCGCTGATCGCGACTGAAGTGGCGTACCTCATCTGCCTCACTGGCGGCGTCGAGATGCGAGTGTTCAAAGCCGGTGCGGTGTTCGTCGGGTTCATGTCGCACTTGATTCTCGACGAAATCTGGAGCCTGTACTGGTACCGCGGACGGCTGAAAGTGAAGCGATCGTTCGGCACCGCAGTCAAGCTGTGGAGCAAGAGCGGTTGGGCCAACTTCTCAACCTACGCCAAGCTAGCGATCCTGACCTTCGTTGTCTTCCACGATCAACAGTGGATGGACCAGGTCGATCCCAACTCGCACCATTTCGAACATATGGTGCAGTCCATCGGGCACTCACTTCGCTTCTGACGCGAAAAGCTCGAATGGCCACTAGAGACTTCGCCTAGAACTCGCGACGACTGTCCAGCAGCATCGTCACCGGTCCATCGTTCACCAGTTCGACGGCCATGTGTTGGCGAAAGCGTCCTGTGCCGACGCTGATCCCTTGCTCGTGCACAGTTTCAACGAACACCTCATAGAGTTGTTCGGCCAACTCCGGTGGGGCGGCCGCAACGAAGCTCGGTCGGCGCCCCTTACGGCAATCGCCCAACAGGGTGAACTGACTCACCACCAGCATCGCTCCCCCGTCGTCGACCAACGAGCGATTCATCTTACCGGCTTCGTCCTCGAAGATGCGAAGCGTGGCAATCTTGGCGGCTAACTCACGGGCGTCGCGCTGTTCATCACCTTGAGCCACTCCCAGCAGCACCACAAGGCCACGCTCGATTTCCCCAGTCACTTCGTCGCCGACGGTGACCTTCGCTCGGGCGACTCGTTGTACGCAGGCACGCATGGCAGAGAAGTGTCCTTTAATGTTCCGGAGGAATCAGCGATCTGTGGGGGCTTGGGAGGAAATCGGCGATCAACATACGGCATCGCAGGTTGCACGACAAACCCTCGGTATGCGAACCCGGCGACGCTCGCCGGCCCCCTTTAGGCGGAGGAACGCGCTGCGTAGAATTAGCCGGCATGAATAAACCCTTGTTAGCAATCACAATGGGCGATCCGGCCGGAATCGGTCCGGAGGTGATCGTCGACGCGTGGTCAAATCCCCGCATCCATGAGGCTTGTCGACCGGTGGTGGCAGGCCATCCGGAGATTCTCCGTCGGGCAATCAAGCTGCTGGGCTCACCGCAGACGGTTCTTGAGGTCGATTCTCCCGAGGCCGCAGAGCCCACTCCTGGAGCGATTCCATGCGTTCAGACCGTGGCCGACAATGTTCTCGACGTTCCACCTCGAGCCATCGATGCCCGCGCTGGCCAAGCCGCTTACGATGCACTGGTGGCCTCAACGCAATGGGCATTAAACGAGCGAATCGAAGGACTCATCACTGCCCCCCTGCATAAGGCTGCCCTAGTCCAAGCTGGGCACCATTACCCAGGCCATACTGAATTGCTGGCCGAGATGTGCGGCGTCGAGCAGTTCGCCATGATGCTCTATCTGGCTCAAGGGCGCGGTGTGGACGGCCCACATGGGCTAGGGGTCGTTCATGTCACACTTCACATGGCCCTGAAAGATGTGTTTTCGCATCTCAATCAGAAGGCGGTCGAAGAGAAGATCGCGTTGGCCGACACAGCCCTGCGAGCCTTGAGGTGTCCACATCCGCGAATCGGGGTTTGCGCCCTGAACCCTCATGGTGGTGAAGAGCGACTGTTTGGCGATGAAGAGCATACGATCATTGCCCCGGCGGTAGAATCCGCTCGCCGAACAGGCTTCGATGCCCAGGGTCCCTTCCCGACCGACACGCTGATGGTTCGCGCACGTGGCGGTGAGTTCGATGCCGTCGTGGCGATGTATCACGATCAAGGACACATCGCACTAAAGCTGTTGGGAATGCACCAAGCAGTGAACGTCACCCTGGGGCTGCCCATCGTGCGAACGAGCGTCGCGCACGGCACCGCATTCGACCTTGCATGGCAAGGGCTTGCAGAGTCGAGCGGCATGGTCGAAGCAGTTACCGTGGCCGCACAGCTAGCCACGGTGCGACGCGAAGCAAAGCTTTCGACTTCAAAGCAATAACCATCTGATCGCGTTTGAAAGGATTGTGAACAAGCAATTATGCCCCCTTCCCTCCCCTCCCCTGCCCCAGACACCTGTGTGCTGTACCTAATCCGTCACGGTGCCACGGCCAACAATTTGGCTAAGCCGCCGCGGTTACAGGGTAGCCAAAGCGATCCAGAACTTTCAGACGATGGGCTCGAGCAAGCCCGCCGTACAGGGCAGTGGCTATCCCATGCTTCGCTGGCTGCCGTGTACAGCAGCCCGATGATCCGCGCGCAGCAGACTGCGGCTCCGGTTGCCGCAGGTCAGGGTCTTGAAGTTCAAGTGATCGACGACCTGATCGAAGTCAACGTGGGTAATTGGGAGGGTCGCGACTGGGAAGAGATCGAACGGAGTGAGCCAGAAGCCTACCGGCTTTTCATCGAAGAACCCGGTGAGAACCCCTACTTCGGTGGCGAAAACATGAATCAAGTGATCGCCCGCACTGATCCTGTCTTTAAGAAACTCATGGAAGCTCACTTAGGCGAATCGATCGCCGTGGTGGCCCACAATGTGGTGAACCGCTGCTACATGTCCCATCTCATCGGCATTCCCATGGCCAAAGCGCGTAGCGTGCCCCAGAACAACTGCGGAATCAACATCCTTCATGGACGACGGGGCAAATCGAAGGTCGTCACCATCAACCTGGTCCATCATCTGGACGAATAATAGGACGCCGGATCAGCTACGAATCCTGAGTCGAATTCCGGAACTGAACCCACTCATTCCACCGGGCTCACGTCCAATTGCTGCTGAAATGTGGCCGTGGCGTCCTGCACAGGAAAGTCACCGGGCTGGTAGGTGAATTGCTTGGAATCAAGCGGACCATCCAGCCGGACCTCGTACAGTTCGAGAGTCAACATGGACGACTGCGACGAACTGCCTTCGGCATGCCGGTAGTAGTCGAAGCGATACGGAAAAAGGTCGTCCTGCCCAAACCAGATCACGATGTGCTCGGGCAGTTGCTCGGGCAATTCAGCCATGTTGCCGCTCGGCACGATCTTGGCCAATCGATTCGGATCCCACTGCCCTTTCACGGCCCACACGTTCAAATCGCCCAATTGGGTCGCGCGAGCTTCTACAAACTGAAAAGCAGCGTCCAACTCTCTGACAGCTCGTGCCAGGCCACCTAAGGCCGGGGTGCGGGGAAACTGTCCAAAGCCTTCGGCTGTGCGACGCGTTGCTAGCCCGAAGTAGGTAGCATCGACCTCGATTTTCGAAACGCTCGGCTCGGTCTGGTCCGGCAGGTGCTGGTGCATCCACAGGTGATCGCCGTCGCACACATGCAACAGGATCGAAGTGGGGTCATCAACCTTCTTCTGTAGAGGGTCTACAATCCGCATCTGAAGCTCAAAGCGATAGCGGTGTTCATTGATCGGTCCCTGGGCAAATACCCCCTTGCCCGACATATCAAAGCCCATCACATGCACCTGAAAACGCAGTTTTGCTGAGATCGACTTTCGCGTTTCCAGCATTTTGAGCGAATCGCGCATGATCTGACTGGCCTGATCTGGGCCGATGGCAGGTGCTGCCGGGTTGATAGCACTTTCCGCTGGCGCACTCGCTTGCTGTGGTGCACTGGCAGCAGGCGACTGCCCCAGGGCCATGTTTGCCGCAAAAAACACGGCAATCAGCGGTGAAATGCATCGTGTCAAAATAGGCAACCTACTGCTCATATTCTGGATTTGACGGTTTTGCCAAAGATTCAGGCCCGCTCCGACCGACCAATAGTCCTCAGAGGCACTAGATCGCTTCGGTGTTACAGCACTTGGAGTTCGTAGTGTCCGCCTGCTTTGGCGTCGAAAGAGCCATGCAAGGCGAAGGTGAGCGAGATTGTAGGACTGCCGGGCCGCTGACGTCCACGGCAGTTGCCAGTCCGCCGAGCAAAGCGACCCACTCAGACAAGAAAACTATCGAAAGGTACGGGGATATGGTTCTGTTCGCCCAGTCCCAAGTCCGTTGGGGGGACACGATGAGACTTCAATTAGCTTTACTGTGCACGGTGCTGGCCGTAACTGGCTGCAAGTCGAATAACTTGCCCCCGGCACAGATGCTCTTCGAGCCTGGCCCCGGAGTGGGTGGCCCCGGCCCTGGCGTGATGATGCCGGGAGCCTACGGTGCTGCTGCCGCAATGTCTGCCGAGGCTGCTATGGCTGAAGGCATGGGTGGTCCTGGCTGCATGCCCGGTCCTGGGTGCATGGGTGGAGGCATGATGGCCGGCGGAATGATGATGGGGGCCGCTAGCTCCCAGATCGCCTTCGTTGGTCCCGACGGGATGATTGTCACCTGGGACGTGGGCCAGCCGGGTTACTTCGACTCGCAACCCCTAGTCGCCCCGGGGCGTTCGAACTTCCCGCAGGGTGCCATCTATCGCTTAAAGCTAACCAGCATACCAGGCCGCCCGGGTGTGGAACTCTATCCCACCCTCGAATTGGCACCGACGCTGCCACGTACCGAGGCCTACCTGGCGCACAACGCCATCCCGGCCCAGTTCACCGAAGAAGACTTCGACCAGGTGACCAGTGGCAACTTTGTGACGAAGGTTATCTACCTGCCTGATGCAGAATTCCAGGAACTCGCCTTGGCGGGCGTCGAGACTCTCGTCAGCACGCGGCTCGATCCGGGTATCGACCCGATCGTGGAAGCCGACCGACGGGGTTCGATTCTGGCCATCATCCGGCTGGGTAACAAAGACCTACAAGTCCCAGACGGTAGCGGTGAAATCCCCGGAGAGATCATCAGCGAAGAGGTCGTCCCGGCCAGCTACAACGCCGCGATGGGTGGACCGGGTTGCGTGCCGGGGGATGGAAACACTCCGATCCCGATGGCCAGTTCGATGGCCGTGCAGCCTGCGGGCATTCCCCCAGGGTTCATCGCCGGGGCAACCGCTCCGCAGTATGGAATGCCGATCAGTGGTACTCCGATTGGGCTCCCGGGTCCGCCGCACATCCCCTTGGGAGGTCCGGCTGGTCTGCAGAAGCACACCATTACCAATCACACCCATGTTCACATGCCGAAACCTACGAGCAAGTTGAGCATCAACGTGAAAGAGTCGCCCGGGTTTAGCTATCCGAAGCCGCCCAGCCACGTGTCGATCAGAGAACGCACGACGAAGGCACCGCTTTGGTTCCGCCAACCGCTTAGCGACAAGTTCAAGTTCCTGAAATAACCATTAACACCCTCCGACTCGGGTTTGGAAACGTTGACGCTGAACGTGTCGACTCCTCCCCTACCCTGTCGCAGATGATGAAACCTTATGCCAACGGTCCGACAGCTCAGGTGTCCTCAACCGACACGACAGGCTCCCCGCTGGAGAAAAACAGCCGGCATCTGGGCGCTGGTCTCGATCGCGTGCCTCAGCACGTGCTACGAGGCCAACGCCCAACAACCACGGCTGCACTACCGCTTCGACGGTAGTAGTTCTCTGGGAGCGATTGGCAGCTGGCGACTCCAACGGGGCGGACCGTTGGCAGGATATTTTCAGCCGGTCGAGCTACGGGCTCCACAAGGAGCGAAGATCGCCATGGCGGTCGAAGGTTCCTTTACCGAGCCCCAGCTTGCACCCGCTTCGGTAGGCCTGTTGATCGCCCCGGTCTACCGCTTTCGCGTCACAAACATTCCCTTCGAACCGGGACGCGAAGTGTTTCCGACGGTCGAGATCATCGACCGGACCTATCCGCCGCCGCAACTGGCGTGGAAGTTCCCCATTCCGATTGAGCTCACGCAAGAAGATCTGCGGATCGCTCTCTCCGGAAAGATGGTCACCCGGGTGATCTACGTTGAAGACCCGAACACGGCCCTGCCGGTTCAGACGGAAAACAACGAACAAGCGTGGTTCGATGTGGGCCCCGAAGCAAACCCCTTGTTCGTAGCCGACACGCTGGGCCGACCGGTCGCCATCCTGCGAATGGGTGGCCGCCAACCAATGGATCCGCTGACGCCCTCGATGACTTTCCTTTTGGGCTGCCCACCCTTGATGTTTGCACCGCAGTGCGTCGATGTCTCGGACGTGGGAACTGTGCCTGAGGAAATCGATCCGCGAACCCAGGCACCGCTGGAAATCGAAGAGTTGGAAACGCCAGCGGTCCCCGATGACTCGCAAGACCGCTCGGCCGCGGCGGAAGTCGAGGTGCGGGGATGAGTCATCGTGTTGCATCGAACGTTGCCTGTGATGCATGGCCTCGATGGTGGCGTCTCACGCTACTCGCGTTGTCAACGCTCATCCTGTGTTCGTGTTCGCCTGCCAGACAGAAGATGACGCCCCCTGGCCCGGCACCCATGGCCGCAGCCGCTCCGGCGGCCGGCATGATGCCAGCTCCAACGCCTTTGCCGATAGCAAGTGGGCCAGCCAGTGGCGTCATCCCTGCCTCGGCCACCGTCCCGATTGAGGGTGTGGGCGAAGTGCCGGTCTGCAATGGGGCATGTTGTGCACACGGTGGATGCGACAAGCCTTGGTCACCCGCGGGTATTGGTTGCCCCTGGCCGTACGATGAATACCTTTGCGACGGCGGCGATGCGACCATCCCTGTGAGCGTCGATGCGAATTGGCAAATCTATGGGCTGGGCATCGAAGACACCGTGGCTCACTTTGATACACTCGACGGTCGTCGCCTGGTCGAACCGAGCAACTGCGTCTGCCTGTATGCGCCTCGCTTCGCAGCGGTGCGAAGTGTGGGTGGACTGAATCAGAACGATCAGGTGGCCGGCCCCGGCGGTGTGGTTCAACCGCTGGCACCAGTGCGTAGCGAAGAGGTCCAGATCGCCGCCACCGACAAACAGAATCTGGCCCCGATACATCAGCGCACATGGAACCGCGCAGGTTCCTACCAGATGAACCAGTCCGATGGAATCATGGCCACTACCTTGAAGGCCGTGGCATTCCAAGACGCCTACCTACCATTCGAAGACTTGCAACTCATACGGCGTGGGATCGTCGATCAGGCGGAAGAAGCTCGATTGGCCGAGTTGTACCAGGCGGCCATCACCTGGACGGGGGACCAAGAAGTTCAGGTCATTCTCGACGAGCAACGGGCCGCCGAAGATGTGTCGATTCAATCTGCACACACGGTTTACGCCATCGAAGAGAATCCTGAAGGCAAGCTTCGGCTTTGCAAGCTCGCCTCGTGCCGTGCGGCCAAGCCCGGCGATACCGTCGACTTCACCCTGCGGTACGATAATGTCGGCCGGTCGACCATCGGCAACGTAACCATCGTCGACAATCTGACTGGCCGTCTGGCCTACGTGCCCGGCTCCTCGGAGTCGAGCCGCGACGCGAACTTCCTTACGGAGATTAACGAACAGGATTCGTTGGTCCTACGTTGGGAGATCATCGCCCCGCTCGAACCTGGCGAAGGCGGCGTGATCCGCTTCAAGTGCCGCGTCCGCTAGCAAGATGGCCGTCCTCGGTAAAGCTTTCGAGTTCTCGGCTCGCTACCCTCGGGCAACATCATTGCTAGCAGCCATCTGCCCTTGACCCCCTGGCGGGCGATTTCTACGGTCCGGAAGTTCTTCCGTTTCCCAAACCGTACGGCCCCCCTGCCCCGAGTTATGGACCTCTCGCTCGCCACTCCCACTACCGAGCAGCCAATGTATCGCTGTCCCGGCGAGCGTTACGATATTGATCGCTCGACTCACCTGGGCCGCCTGGCCAACTTCTACAGCAAGTGCCATACCTGCCCTCACCATAATGACACGGGCACGCTTTCGAAAAAGGTCGTTCACCGCCTCGGTCAAGTGCAGCGACGTACTCCGTCTGCAACCGCGAGAACGGGTGAAATACTTCAAGGCGAGGTCGGACTGAGCCTCACCGTCGACCTTGCTAGGAGTATCGCAAGGCAGTTCGGCATTTGGTTACAGAAGCAGAACAACGCTGATGCCGCTCCGCGGGTCCAGCTAGCCGGTGATGGTCGATCTCTTACGGCACCCCTGGTTGCCGCGATCGGTGAAGGCCTGAGTTGGGCCGGCTGCCAGGTTATCGACCTCGGACGAGTGGTGGCGCCCGCAGCGGTTGACGCTCAGGCAGAACTAGAAGCCATAGGAACGATCACCGTAGGCAACTCACCGGGTCAACCACAGACGGCTGGGATTCGGTTGTTTGGCCCGCTGGGTCGCCCCCTGTCGATTGACGAGGTGTCTCTGGATGGCATGGCTGCCATTTCGAAGCTTGCCCGTCCTGCACGGCACGCCCCCCCTGCCCTGCGAGCAAGTGTTGAGCGTGCATACGTCGACCGGCTGCGGCAGTACTTCCACGGACTCCGCCCGTTGCGATTCGTCTTAGACACTCCCTGCGTGACCATAATCGATTGGATGACCGAACTCTTGGATCACGTGGCCTGCTCGGCGATTCTTCTTCGAGGTTCAAGCCGGCACGTGGGTGCGTCGGTGCCGGAACATCGCGCTGGCTTCAAACACGGACGACGCCACCAGAAACCGCGCGATATCCAACAGGCAGTCCGAGAGGAAGCCGCCCACTTCGCAGCGCGTATTGATGGCGATGGTCATGCCCTCGAAGTATGGGATGAAACAGGACGGAAACTCAGCCCCACCGAGTTGTTCGTGGTGCTATCCACTCTTGGCCATCTTGATCATCCCCCCAATCACCTGGCTGTATCAGATCACGACTACGGTAAGGTTTCCGACTCCCTCACAGCTGCCGGATTCACCGGCACCGTAGTTGATGTGGGCGACTTAGACTTCCACCGACCGATGCTCGACAACGATGCGGAGCTTGGCTTGGGACCCGACGGCCGGATCTGGCATCGGAATCGTGTGCCCATGGTGGACGCCATGCAGAGCCTGGCTTCGCTGCTGGTGGCCTTGAGCCAAAGCGACCGCCCATTGTCGGCGGTTGTTGGCCAGCAGTAAATCACCCTCCACCCCCCTGCCCTGCCGCTTTCTTTCAACTTCGGCCTGCGCTAACATAGTCGAAGATGTTAACTCCACTCCAAGCACGAACAATTCCCTCGCTCACGGGACCGGATTAAGAAAATGGCGCATCGATGGATTGCCGAGCGAATGTCGCATTTCGACAGCTCGGGTATACGCAAGGTGTTCGACCTGGCAAGCCAACTCAAACACCCAATCAACCTCTCAATCGGTCAGCCCGATTTTGATGTGCCCCCGGAAGTTCAGGAAGCCGCGATCGAAGCGATCCGCAGCGGTAAGAATAGTTACGCCCTGACTCAGGGCATGCCCGTGCTGCGGGAAAAGCTGCAAGCCCGAGTCGATGAACAATACTCACACGCAGACCGGCAAGTCTTCGTCACCAGCGGAACCAGCGGAGCGTTGGTTCTCGCCGTGATGGCGATGCTTGACCCAGGCGACGAGGTCATCGTCTTCGACCCCTACTTCGTCATGTACCCTCCACTGGTTGGGCTGGTCGGCGGGAAGTGTGTGCTGGTCGATACCTACCCTGACTTCCGCATTGATGTTGACCGCGTACGCGAAGCCATCACACCGCGGACCAAGATGATTCTGTTCAACAGCCCCGCCAACCCCACTGGCGTGGTGGCCGGCCCCGAGGAAACCAAATCCCTGGCCGAGTTGGCAGCCGAACGTGATGTGATGCTGATCAGCGACGAGATCTACCGCGAGTTCTGCCACGAGCCGTTTACGTCTCCGGCCGAGTTCAACGAGAACACGCTGGTCATCGACGGGTTCAGCAAGACCTACGCCATGACGGGGTGGCGTGTGGGCTACGCGCACGGCCCCAAAGAGATTATCAACGAGATGATCAAGCTGCAGCAGTACACGTTCGTCTGTGCTCCTCAGCCCGCCCAATGGGCCGGAGCGGTTGCGCTCGATATCGACATGAAGAAGCATGTGACCGAATACCGTCGAAAACGGGACTTGCTTCTGGAAGGCCTTGAAGGCTCGCTAGAGGTCGTCATGCCTGGCGGCGCGTTCTACGCCTTCCCCAAAGCCCCCTGGGGCACCGCCACGGAGTTCGTAGAAAAGGCAATCAAAGAATACGAACTCCTGATCATCCCCGGCAAAATCTTCAGCCGACAAGACACCCACTTCCGCATCTCCTACGCGGCCGAAGAAGAGACGATCCGCAAGGGAACCGAAGCCCTAAGAAAACTGGCCGCCACGGGGAAGTAGTACGCCCAACGTAGGGTGCTGTCGAACGTAGTATAGACGCACCGTCATTTATATATAGTCGTCTTCCTCTCAAAGATGGTGCGTCTTCGCTGCGCTCGACAGCACCCTACCCTAGTTTCAATTGCTAGGAGTGAATTGAAATCCCGGCAAATCAAATTTTCCACCGCCTACGTATACGGTCTTGTGGCTGAACAATCCGAGCCTATCGGCATCATTTGGATTTGCACACGGTGGAGTCTTTGAGCGGACCCAGGCGGACACGCGAAGGCTTGGGGTTCCCCCTTTTCCTTGAAGGCCAAATCTCGTGATCAAAACCCCCGGGGCATATTGTTGGGTACTCCATCGGTCGCTGACTTCGCTAGGAAAAGCCAAATCTTCCAGGCCAGGCCCCCACGATCTTAACGTGACGAAATCAATACCCTCAAACGCAAGGGGATGAGACACGTCCTCGAATTCCTCGCTTCCAGCGGTCAACTCAATTCGATCTAATTCGGTTGCCCCTGGCTCTTTGTCGCCTCGAATGACAAGTCTGTATCCCGTCTTTGGCAGCAGATCGAATTCGAAGCGTTGTGTACCGGCCTTCTGGCCAGAAGCATCGAGAAATTCGATCTCGAGGCGATGCTCGCCCTGTGGAACATAAAAATTTGTAGCGATTGAATTCGAAGCGGTTGAAGATAAAGCGGATGCAATAAAGTCGCCTTCAAGGTCAGGAATATCATCAGCACTGCGACAACAGCTCAGCAGTTCTGAGAATTGTTTGTTCAGAAACTCGTCTTCAGCACGAAGCCCCTCAATTTGTCCTCGCAGTGATTCCAACGCGTGAATTTGCTGGTGAATACCTTGCGACTCAGCCTCGATTGCGGCTGACTGAGCCCTGAGAGAGGCAATTTGGCGGCGGAGATGCACGATCCACGGAGTGCATACGAGAAGCGATACAACAATCGCGATCAAAACCCAGGGGTTGATCCCGGTCTTAAGAGAAAGCCATCGAGTCGCTGCCGGGGCCCAGTTCATGGTTCTTCCTCGCCCGGAAACGGTGAAAACCCACTTGACGATTCATCAAACCACAAAAACAACCTCTGTTCCGGGCCGGTCGAGCCGCCAATACTCCACTTCCCCAGCACGCTTCCTCTAGCAATCGGAAGGTCGATTTGCTCGAATGCGGCCGTAAACATCGAGCCTTTCGAGGTTACCCCCTCGAATTCACTCGTGGATACGAGGATCGGTCGACCATCGAGCGAAAAGCGATACTGCAGCAGAGAATCTTTCGGCTCTTTACGTCTGGCCAAGTCGATGTCGTGAATACCGGGAGTCAATCGAATTTCAAACGGACCAGAATTGTCCAAGAACGAGTCGTCGAGCAGAAGACTGTCGGATGGAAGGATGCTGCGAAATCCGGCAAACTTTTCGTCGATGACTCCCAACTTCAGGTAAGGCTCACTTCCTTCGGGCACCAGCATCCGCATCCGCCAGTTCGAACCGTCGTATTCAGCATCGACAATCATAGGGATGATGCGAATGGAAACGAACCCTTCACCTCGCGGTTCGATCCTACTGTATTTCTCTTGAATGGTCGGTAAATGTTCGATGCCCGATCGCTTGAAGATAGCTTTAGCCTTTAGCCAGTCGACTTGAGCCTGAGGGTTGCCATTTCTCGTTTGCAGAATCTGCAAGTTCATCCTTTGCGAATCCAAATGGGATCTTGCTTCGCCTAATTCCTCCCCTGCGATCCAATGTTGCCTCATCGTTCCAACAACAAGTGCCGCCAGGGCCACAATGAACATTAAAGCGAACATGTCACGAACATTGAATTGCATGGCATTTCTGTCAGGGAGAGGGAGGCGATGACTTCTCGGAGCCGCTCGAAACCTCTGAATTCCTTAAAAACCGCTCTTTCACAGGCACAATCGTATTGAGAAACACCCGTCGTATGGCATCGTAACCACGGTCATTCGGGTCTTCGATATTGTCGAAGTACCAGTAGTAAGGGTCCTCTGCTCGATAGGTCGCTCGCCAGAACTGGCGGCAATGCGATCCATGACCGAGGAATGTTTCGTAAAGCGGGACGACATGCACGTTTTCTCTCGCATCAGCAACCCGGCGGATGACTGCGTTGTACTCGGCGTGAATGGCTAACCCGTCGGGCCAGTGGGGAAGGTAGACGCTGGGAGCATCACCGACTCCGTCGGTTGGATCGTAGATATCGGCCAAAAAGATTTCACATCCGCCGGGGAAGCGCTCGTCGATGCTATCGAGCATGGTATTCAATCGAGTTTCAAAGCCCTCGATCCAGGGTTTCGCCTCTTGCAGCGTTGCCCCGTACATGGCTCCTTCGCGCGGCGGCGATTGACCGTAGTTGTGGATCAAGTCGTTCCCACCGGTCGTCATGACGACGAGTCCGAACATGTCCGGGGATTGCGTCTCGAAATTATCTTTTAGCACCTCGAGGTGGTGTAACGAAGTCGATCCGGAGATAGCCAGATTCACCGACTCTAGATCGGGCATCACGTTGCTCAGACAGATGCCTTCCATCTCGGCGTATTCGTCGGCGGGGTTCTTGATCAACCGTTGAAAGTAGCTGTGGTCCAGCGACTTTGCTCCCAACCCCGCCGTTACGCTGTCGCCCAGCCCCAGGATGAACACGGGCCGCTCGGTCCAAATCTCCTCAAATGCCGCACGATCCACATGGGGACCAGCCGGACCTTCACCCATGGGACGCAGGAGAAAGAATTGAATGTACCCCACGGCCGCCGCGATCAAGATCGCTCCCACAACGAGCAACCACAGGCTGCGTCGCCTGGCGTTCTTGGAGTACCGGGGCTGCTTCAAGTCGCGCGTTGTTGCTTCCTCAGAGCTTGCGGTCAACTAAACCTCCTTGGAAGTTTTCTCATACATCTCCACGGCCGACTTCACTTCGGCGATGGCCGCGTCGCGGTTGGCCCAACCGTCGGTTTGAATGGTAACGCCTTCAAGTTGTTTGTACGTGGTGAAGAAGTGTTCGACCTCGAGCAGATAGTGCGACGGAGCGTCGGGCAGGTCTTGGATTTCCCCGAACAACGGATCGGTGTTCGGCACACCCAGAACTTTGTAGTCATTCGCGCCGCGATCGATCATGCGGAACAAGCCAATCACCCGGGCTTCGATCAGACAACCACTGAACGTTGGCTCGTTGATCATCACCAGAATGTCCAGTGCGTCACCGTCCTCGGCCAACGTCTGGGGAATGAACCCATAGTCGCCAGGATAGTGGCTCGAGCTGTACAAGTACCGGTCGAGTTTGATCAGCCCGGTCTTCTTATCCACCTCGAACTTGCTCCGCCGCCCCTTGGGGATCTCCACAATTGCATTGACTACCGCGGGCAAGTCGGTGCCTGCCGGCACATTGAAGAAAGGGCTACGGGAATCCATCACCGGTCTCGTTCACTGTACGGGTCAAAAAGTTCCGTACTTAGAATAACCGAGAATCGAGGCGGAGAGTATTTCTCCTCTCACTCAAGTGATCATTCAGGAGAAAATGCCTGATGCAAAGCGATCTCCACCAAAAACAAACGAGCCCTGCGATGATTGCATCGCGGGCTCGTTTGTGAGGGCACGTACTGGACGCCCGCCGGGGTTGCTAAGCAACCGGGGTGGGGTTGAACGTTACGCGCTTTTGTTTTTGGTTTGTGGAATAGGCAGTAACTGTTCGCGGCCCATCACCACATCTTCTGTGATGACGTACCGTTGACCGGCACCACGCTCGGGCAAATCGAACATGATATCGAGCATCACGTCTTCGACGATCGATCGCAGCCCTCGCGCTCCGGTCTCTTTCTCGCGAGCCCGATCGGCGATAGCGGCCAAGGCCGTCTCGGTGAACTCGAGATCGGCATCTTCGATCTCGAACAGCTTCTGGTACTGACGCACCAGGGCGTTCTTCGGTTCTTGCAATACGCGAACCAAAGCATCGGTGCCCAGGGGGGTCAATGAAGTTAGTATCGGCAAACGACCCACGAGTTCCGGAATTAATCCGAATTCGAGAATATCGTCACTGTTTGCCTGACCGAGCAACTCGCCCAACTCCAAATCGCGCTCTTCGTCCGAGCGGTTGTCGCTGGTAAACCCGATCGTGCGTTGACCCAGGCGTTTGCTGATGATCTTGTCGATGCCGACAAAGGTTCCACCGCAGATGAACAGAATGTTGCTGGTGTCCATCTGGATGTACTGCTGCTCGGGATGCTTCCGTCCGCCTTGCGGAGGAACGTTGGCCACGGTGCCTTCGAGCATCTTGAGCAGAGCTTGCTGAACCCCTTCGCCAGAGACATCGCGAGTGATCGACACGTTCTGTGTGGTCTTGCCGATCTTGTCGATTTCGTCGATGTACAACACGCCACGCTGCGCGGCTTCGATATCGAAGTCGGCCGCGTGCAGAAGCTTCAGCAACAGGTTCTCGACATCTTCACCAACGTAACCGGCTTCGGTCAGCGTGGTGGCATCGCCGATGGCAAAGGGGACATCGAGAATGCGGGCCAGCGTACGGGCCAGCAACGTCTTGCCACAGCCGGTGGGGCCGAGCAGCAAGATATTCGACTTCTCGATTTCAACGTCGCTCGATTCGGCACCCAGCATCAAACGCCGGTAATGCGTGTAAACCGCGACGGAAAGTACTTGTTTGGCCCGACTCTGCCCAATGACATACTCATCAAGCTTGGCAACGATCTCCCGCGGACTTGGTACCTTGGTGAAGAGTTGCTTGCTGGTACCCCGGCGGCGACGTTCCTGGTCCAAGATGGATTGGCACAGTTCGATGCACTCGCCACAGATATAGACTTCGCCAGGACCTTCGACCAAAGGCCCGACATCACGATAGCTCTTGCGGCAGAACGAACAGAAAGCGTTCTTTTTGGTGGTTCCACCCCGCCGACTCACGTTGACATCCCTACTTGAGGGCATGCTCACTCCTTTCCCCCCGCCGACTCGATTGTCCCCACGCGGGGTCAACGGCCAGTTGGGTCATATCCTGGTGCTGCTCGAGCGACCGTGTCCCGACGGGCCACGACGTCGTTGGGGGGCGTCCTTGTCCGCTACTAAACCCGAGCTGTGTGGGTAACTCCACGGGTGCTATCGAGTCTGGCAAAGGCCGGTCCTGAGCATCCACGATCAGACCACAAGAGCAATCGAACAACCAACACCAATCACTTAGTAGCAGCCGACCGCTCTAACCCTTACCTCCGGTATCTTTTAACTCTGCTTGCATGCGTTCCGCCAGCATGCTCTTTATTGTTCGGAATTCCTCGTCGCTTAGCTCACCCTGGGAATGCAAGTCGGAGAAATTCGAGATGAGTTCACTGGCCTGTGGGGTATCGTTGTCCGTGCCACCCCGGAAGACGTTAATAACGTAAACCCCGACGACGACCAGAATTGCCAGAGCAGCCAGCCAGATCACTACCTGCGTTGTTGTTTCGGAAAGAAAATCCGACATAGAAAAGCCTGAACTTCGAATCGACGCCGCTTCCCCTCTTCGCTGACCCGTCCGATCTTCCTATTATGCACATCATCTCAATCCTCGTCCAGAAATGGATAAAAGGTAACCCAACGGGCCCCCTACTAAACTGCCAAGACGCAAGAATTTGCGTAAAACGCGGCATCCGGCCGAATCGATAAGGCCGCTGGTGCGACTCCTGGCGCCCCGGGACAGCCATTCTCTGGGACCGTCGAGACGCCGTGGCGTGCATGGTCCGGAAAGGGTGCGAAGAAGATCGTTCAGCGACGCCTGCGACGGTTCGCCGCCGAACGATCCTCAGTCGCTTGTCCGACCGGGCGCCCCCTTGATGATGCCCGGTCTGCAATGATGTACGGGGCCAGATCGAACTTGGTGCGCTAGCGTCGAAAAAAATTTTCTGAACCGCTAGGCACTGCTGCATTCGACTGCGTTGACAGCAACCTTGGCCATATCTACGTTGGGCCTGCTTTCACCAGCGACGGCACGCTTCAATCAGAACCCACCCCAAGATTCAAAACCCGGACCAAGCAGACATGTCCAAAGATGATGATCTCCAACGTGTGCGCGATCGGGCGATTATCGCCGTGGTGCGGTTACCCAGCGGCGAACAGCTAATCGATGTGGCCGAAGCGTTACTTGCCGGCGGCGTCGAGGTGCTGGAGATCACGTTCACCGTGCCGCGAGCAACGAAAGTGCTGGAAACGGTGGCCGATCGATTGGGAGATAAGGTATTACTGGGAGCCGGAACGGTGCTCGACACCGAAACCGCCAGGGCCGCTCTGCTGGCTGGAGCCGAGTACCTGGTGTCCCCCACGTTGAACCTCGACGTAATTGAGATGGCACGGCGGTATGGCAAGCTGGTGATGCCTGGTGCATTCTCCCCAACAGAAATACTCACCGCTTGGGAAGCCGGGGCAGACATCGTGAAGGTGTTCCCCTCGGACGTGACGGGGCCTAAGTATCTGAAAGCCGTGCGAGGCCCCCTGCCCCAAGTGCGGCTGATGCCCACCGGCGGTGTAAATCTCGACACGGCGGCCGACTTCCTCAAGGCTGGTGCCTGCGCATTGGGTGTTGGAGGATCTCTCGTCGAACCCAAGGCCGTCGCGGCCGGCGATTTCGAGCGGATCAGCTCGCTGGCCAAGAAGTACACGGCGATCGTCGCAGAGACGCGTGCATAGACTGCACCTCAGTGCCAGCAAGCAACGCGTAAAAATCTCTGCCCGTCATCCGCGATCGGCATGTCCGCTTCAAGTTACGCGATCGATACGGTCGATATCGACGCTACAGGGTCTTTCGCGCGCGAAGGTCTAGCGGATCTTCGTCCGTGAGGAAATTGCGTCGAAAGATCGATCGATACACAGGGATTGTGGTCCGGAGTCGTTGTGCATGCGCGGCCGGGTCGCCGAACGGATTTCGAGGTGCGACATGGGGTTCAATCGTCTCGCTTGCTGCTTGATTGTCGTTAGCAGTGCCGCAAACTGTTTTGCACAGGCACCAATGCAACAGGCAGCGCCAGAAGCACCGCAAGCCTCGCGACAGATTCCCACGCAAGTTACACGGATGGTCGTGTTCTCCATCCCCTTCGCCCCGCCGGCCGACGTTTATCCCAGGGCCGTTGAAGTGCAGTTGTACTCCTCTGAAGACGGTGGTCGAAACTGGAACCTCATCAGTCGGGCCGACCCTTCGCAAAAACACTTCACCTTCCGTGCCCCGCGCGATGGCGAGTACTGGTTTTCAGTACGTACGCTGAACGAAGCCGGGCAAGTCACCCCCACCACCAACCCCAAGCCTGAGTTGCACGTGGTGGTCGATACGGTGGCTCCCAAACTCAATCTTCGCACCTGGCAAGATGAGTCCGGCGAGTTGCATGCCTCATGGGAACTGAACGAACCGCACCCTCGGCCTGACAGTTTGAAGTTGATGTACAACACCGGCGCACCCAACGAGAGCTGGCAACCGGTGGCCGTTCAGCCGACACCCACCGGCAATGGGCAACAGAAACAAACCACTTGGAAGGCCGCCAGCGAAGCCGAAAAATTCTTCGTGCGGGCCGAAGTGACTGATCAGGCGGGGAACACTTTCGTCACTGAGCAAGAAGTAATCCCCAACGCCCAGCTTGCGGCGAACAAAACGGAAGATGGCACTTCGCCTTCAACTCCTGCTCCACCAGTAGCATCAGCATCAGAAGCGGTTGCTACAGCGTCGCCGGCAACGCAAACCTGGACACCCGAGAGCCCCGCGGGAACACCGCCCGGTGCAGGTCCGCTCCAACCAACCACTCTACCGGTAAGCAACTCACAACCTGCCGCACCACCCACAGATTTGGCCAGCCAACAAGCTCAGACTCCGGTCGCGGGCGACGCGACAGTTGCGCCTCCGGTAGCCAGCAATCAACCGGCCATTGTTGATGGAGCGGAAAGCATCCCGGGTACAACTGCGACGCCGGATGTTGCTTCGTCCGCTCCCATGACCCTGGCGGGGTTACCGATGGGTGTGCGACCTCGCATGGTCAATTCGCGTCGGTTCGAACTCGAATACGACGTCGAGTCCGTCGGCCCCACAGGCATTGGCAGAGTCGAGCTTTGGGGCACTCGCGATGGTGGTCAGAGCTGGCTGAACTTCGGCGCCCCACCCGACCAACGCAATCCGTTGCAAGTTACGGTCGATGGCGAAGGTATCTACGGCTTCCGCATCGTTGTCTACAGTGGCTCCGGGCTTGGCGGTCTTCCCCCGAAAAGTGGCGATCAGCCCGATGTGTGGTTGGGCGTCGACCTGACCAGCCCTGAAGCCCGCATTTTGAACGCCGAACAAGGCACCGAGAATCGTTCAGGCGAGTTGCTCGTCTCCTGGGAAGCTTCCGATCGAATGCTGGCCGACCGCCCGATCTCGTTACTCTTCAGCCCTCAACCCAACGGCCCCTGGTCGACCATTGCCGCAGGTTTACCCAACTCGGGGGCCTATGTATGGCGATTGGACAATCGAGTACCCGACATCGTCTACTTGCGGATGGACGTCCGCGACGAAGCGGGCAACGTGCGCAATGCTGACTATGGACAGCCGATTTCCATCTACCGTCAACGCCCCGCCGGTCGCATTACAAACGTCCGCCCGGTAACGGCGGCCGGCTCTCAGTGAGCCGCATCACCTGACAGCCCCGCATGTCAGACGGGATATTTAGCCGGAGAAGCGTTTCGATTCGAGGGTTCGCCCTCAATCTCAACGCCTACTGAACTCTCCTGCTCGAAGCATCGGCAACCGATGGCTGTCCAATCCGCACTCGACTTTCTAGCCAAGAAACGACCACCGGAGATTCCCGGCGTGGTGGTCGTGTATGGCAAAGAGCCTTTCTTGCGGCAGCTTGTCATCTCGGCCGTGCGACATCATGTGTTAGGCGAGGGCGATGCCGAACTGTCGCTGACCCGTTTCGAGGGCAAGTCGGTTCAGCCGCGAGATGTGTTCGACGAGTTGGGCACGCTCTCGATGTTCAGCACAGGACGACGCTTGGTGGTGGTTGAGGCCGCCGATGAGTTCGTCACCCAGCACCGGCCTCTGCTAGAAGACTACGCGGCTCGTCCGAAAGCCAGCGGGGTGTTGCTGCTCGACTCACCTCAGTGGAAGACTACTACCCGACTACACAAGTCGATCGTCGCGAGTGGGATGCCCATCGAATGCAAGCCCCCTTCGGCCGCCAAGCTAGAAGCTTGGGTTGTGCAATGGGCTGCCTCAGCACACGACATCGAACTCGACCACGAAGCGGCCGAGATGCTGACCGAGATTGTCGGCCCTCAACTGGGTTTGCTTGACCAGGAACTTGCCAAGGTGGCGGCGTTTGCCGGAAACGAGAAAAAGATCGATATCGCCGTTCTATCCGAAGTGGTCGGCAAGACGCGCGCCAAGACCGTGTGGAGCATGCTGAACCACGCCGCCGAGGGGAACGCATCGGCCGCGTTGGTGGAGATGGACCGGCTCATTGCCGAAGGTGAGGACGCCACGGGGTTAATTGGTCGCATCGGGTCTTCACTGCGGAGATTTGCGGCGGCCACCCGATTAATCGAAGCCGAAGAAGCCGCAGGCCGGCGACCGTCAATTCGCAGGGCCTTGGAGCAAACTGGCGTGAAGTCATTCGCGCTTGCCAGCACCGAAGCCCAGTTGCGACAGCTTGGCCGAGCCCGGGCGGGGGCGATGTACCGCTGGATCCTGGAGGCCGAACTGGCCGTTCGTGGCAACAGCACGCTCGATGCCCGGACCGTGCTAGAACAATTCGTCGTTCGCATGTCCCGCGAGTACCAGGCCGAACACGCCGCAATCGCGCGGGGTTGAAATCTCGGGACATCTCCATAACAGCTAGCGGTCGCTGTCACTTCTATCGCCATCGTTCTATCAGTGGCAAGCAACTCATCTTGTCGCCTCCGTGGGGAAGACCTATCCTCCGCTCCGCAATAGGTAGTTT